AAAAAATACATTTTTGATATAAGTTTTTATGTTGGTCATTTTGTCACATTGATGAAACTGTTCAAGTGGACCAGAGCTCCAGTCAGAAGTAAAAAAAAAAAAATCAGTTGTAAATGTGCACCATGTAAAGTTATGAATATATGTTTCTTCTCTGAATGTGAGCTTCAGCTGTACATGCACTGAAAGGCATGTGTCAGTTTCCTGCAGTTGAAGGCAAGTGTTCAATCAAGACATTAGGCGCCTGGGGAGAGGGGTTGCTGTTGTATAGAAATATACTGGGGATTTACTTCCTGCAATGCAACCCTATATATGTGTAGCGCATTCTAATTTTGAAGTCCAACGTGTGCAGTAGATGTTAAAGGAGAATTTTGCTGAAATACACTCATCCCCATAATTCAAGCCAACCTGTGACACTGAAGCTGTCACAGGTCGGCCCTATTGATCGTGAACTCCGCAAACAGATACCGCCAAGTTCCTGATCCTCTCCCTGCAGAGATCGGTGACTGTCAGTCACGGCTCCCCGCAGGGATTTCCCCTCTCTCTCCGTTTCTCCAGTGCTGACTGGAGGAACAGACTGGGAGGGGGCAGGCCTCTAGATAGGCAGAGCCAGCTGTCAGTCAGCCAGCGGGGTGGATCTCAACAATATTGTCGGGATCCCTCATGGCTGTAGCGCGGCTCCACGCACTTAGCATATAAAGGGCAATAGCCCTCTATATACTGAGTTTTGGGTCACCGGAGGACATTAGTATATGTCCTCCTGTGACCCTGAAGAGAACTATAGCCAAAAGGGTTATCCCATGGTTCGTTTTATAGTACCTGCGCTGCAGCACACCAAAATGCACATTGTGAAGCACTGCATTGGCAAAATAGCAAAAGCCTAGTTTCCCTGTGTTGATAGCCCATTCAATTATTATGGGTTGCACAAGTGTGAAGGGACCCTTACAGATTACACTCCTCAGTTAGCACAGTAAAGTTCTATTCACTGATCCAATCATGTGCAAGGGGGATTTATTGGGTCTATTTATAAAACAAAATTGCATAGCTATTAGACCAGCGAAACTGCAGGTACATTTGTTCTGTGTTAATTAGACTATTCTATTAGGTTCTGTTTTTAGGCTATTTTCGCTTCTGGTCGAATGGTCTTCAAATATTAATGGGCAGTAGTAAAAAGTAGGTTTATTCATTAAGGACAAAGAGTGATTTGGGAAATGCCACATTATGGCCACTAGATAGGAAATAAATATATCTTAGTAACAAGAGATACAATGTAAAAATTCTAGAGAAGCCTGGAGGGAATTAGTAAATATATGTATATATGTAAACATTGCACGTGTCATTTTATGTTGGAAGCTTTCAGTATTTTTTTTGCCCCCACCCACCCCCCTGTTGGTATCCTGCAGCCTCCTGGCATATGTGATGTGGATATCCCAGGATTACTCACAGTGGCTGATGGGTGGATCCGTGTGTCACTGGGAAGTGACCGCAGAATCCAGAAGACTGAGGATAAGGTGATTATATCTATCATTAAAGAAGATGCCCAGGCTGTGGCAGTGGATCACAGCAGGACAACATTGGATTTCATCTTTATATATCAGTACTATTGAAAATTTAAAGAAGTGAATTTGAAAAGTTTACCCTTGCAGTGGGGGAGCCCCCCCACTGCAAGGGTTAAGTGCTCCTTTTGGCTAGGGAGCTCAAACAAAGCATATATACTCTTCTGATCTTCAGCCCTGCAAGGTTGATAGACCGATCCCAACAGCCTCCTCTACCCTGGACTCCAGCCATCTACAGACCGCTGACGTCACCACGTCTACTGCAGCTCCACTGAAGACGCAAAGAGGCGAAGAGAGGTGAGCGTTGGCTGCCATGGGACTGAGTATCAGGTGATCATATCCAACTTATCTGACACCCCCCCCCCCCCCCTTAGACAAAATGAGCACTTAACCCTTGCAGTGTGGGTGGAAACAGCATAATCACTGTACTTCTAAGGACCACTAAGGATCAGTTCTCCTTTAAGTTAAAGCACCGTGATACAAAATAATAGTTCAAAATGTATTGTTGTGGCTCAGCTCCTATACACACAAACCAGCCGGCAAAATCTGCTATTTGATTTTCCAAGATAGTCACTTGAACTCACCGCCGTATAGAATTAGTGCCGAGTTAAGTAATCAGAGGCTTCAAAGTTACATTTTGAGCTGCAGCTAAATTGGACCTTAGGTATAAAGGATAACTGGTAGGATTAAATGGAGTTCCATAAATACACTCCTCATTGCCACTCCTCATAAAATTATAGTAGCGCCTAGCCATGTCTGAGGCCTGCTGGGTTTGGCAGTGGCCTTAGCTTTCTTTTTAGAATTATATTTTTTTCCTTTGTAAGGGAACTTAAACAGCCACAATTATTATTATTTTTACACTCATGTCCTATTTTTTAGCCTTTTTGCTGAAGCCATATTGGATCAGTTTTTACATGATAGCCTTCTGCTATGCCAACACACACCGGCTTGCAGAGAATACTTAACAATGAGGATGGGACCAGACTGCATTCTCAAGAGAAATAGGTCTCTATGTGTACAATTAAAGTGTATCCCTAAATCAGAAGCTTGCAGTGAAATCAGAATAAGCCGTTTCAGTACAGGAAAGGAGCCTGAACAACTGTGCAAGGCTAAAGGTTATGTTGGAATTCAGCTTTAATTCTTACCCTAACTCTTAAAAATAACCCTTAACATTTAACATTAACTTTAACCTCTGGTAGCCTGTCATATAACATTAAAGCATCCCTAAAACCTTTAATCCAGCCCTTCTAACACTAACCCTAACCTCACCCTTACCCTAACCTCTAATGTCAACCTTTCTTAAGAACCGTAGGAGCCTAATGTTGCAGAACGCTATATGTCCTTCAAAAGATCTCACAGTGCTGAGACTTTGGCACCAAAATCACTCATTCACATTATAAATATGCTTAGATTGTATTTTTTCTGATTTCCACTGAAAGATCTAAACAAAGAATGAACAAGCCACATGCAGTCTGATCTAAGTGTGGCACACTGCTGACCTATACCTGATTTGTTGTCTCCTGCAACCTTCCCTTCCTTGCTCCAAAAATGTGTTGCCTTGTGTAATCGGCCACAATTAGGTTTGCAGAGTGACGGGTATGGTGAGCTGTGGTCCCATCTGCACCTTCCTGTAGGCCGATCACTACAATCAATTAACTTACTGTCCAAACTGATAAGTACTTTAGCCATCCTAGAACCTTTTTCAGGCTTATTATGGGCACAGCATGATGGTATGCTGCATCTGGCCTCTGACATTATAATGTATTGATGGAATTAAGGCATTATGGCTAAAGAAAAGGCCAAAACGTGATGTATATGAAATAAATAGAAAATCACCTTACTTTTCCAGCAGTAAGGTAGAAAGCACCATGGATAGAATATGATCGTATTAATACTTTAGATTGTCCAGGTCAAATAATACTGACCAACAGTCTTATCTCCATGTATTAAGCACCAGAGCAGGACCATTGTTAAGATCCAACTTTATATTGAATGAGAAACTGTATTAGAATGCATAGAGCTAGATCCTTAAATCTCGACTTTACTGAAAATCAATCAATATGATCAACTGAACTATGAGTTTTGGTGGATGTCTGTAGCTTTGACAGTTCATCGACAGGGCCATCCTTTTGGTCCACTGATTAAATAGCTCTCTCTGTGTACTGGCTCATAGCGGGGACTTTTATGGCTTTAAATACACACTTGTAGGATTTAGTCCACCAGAGTTTCTCCACAGGTATTGTCCATTCATTGATAAATAGGCACAATCTATTTAATGTTGAATGTGCAGCCAGTATTCTTTCTTACATAATACTGCTTTATCCTACAAGACACCTTCCAGTAGTATCAATTGTTACTGCAGTCATCTTTTTTAAATCAAAGGAATCACTAAAAAAACAGTTTGGCAATGCCAGTAACAAAATTTAGGCACACATTTCCTCTATAAGAGTCTGTTGGTGGTCACATTGTTCCTCTAATGTTGACTAAATGTTATATCATTAAGGATGGATCTAAAGCTGCAAACAACACTGTGTCCCATGTTATTGGGGTTACAGAATCCCTGCATTGTTAATGAAAGAGCACCAGTTGAACAGTGTGGTCAAGAAGGACCACCTGTAAGGACATCAACAAAGATAAGCACATGTTTCTTCTTGATATATCTGTTGATGGCCATATATGTATAATGAAAGCACCTTGGAAAGCAGTTCAGTGTTCTTGTTGCTTAAAACAATGTTGCCACATACCATGTGGCTGTAAACTCCATGATGGGAAAAAAGGAAGCATACAATGAACTATCGAGACAAATGCCCTTTCAGGACATGGTGTCCTTTTAGTGGGTGGTCATACTAATAATTTCTATATTCCAGTTAAAGGCTTGTGTATGACCATGCTTTTCTTAACATTTGTGGTAGCAAACTCCATGGTGGCAGACAAGGGAGTACCCAGGGACACTGTCCATTCATGATCAGAGTAATTAATACTGACTAATTAGGCATGCATGTCCTCTTGGTGTACTTGTGCTTGGTCATACTTGATTGAAACCTATTTTGCAGTATATATGATGCTGCATATTTTCTATTAGTATTTATGGTTGCATACTCAACACCTAGGGAGAGTGAAGCACCATGTGACATAGTCCACACTAGATGGATCTACTGCAATGATTTTCCATAGTCTTCTGCATGTAAATGTAAGTCATTATATTTCTTTCTTGAAGCCACCCTGTATAATTACTTTGCAGTATTTATTGAGTTGTTATTGTTCATTGCCCTGGAATGCAACTACAGGCTACACTTCAATCAGAGTAAAATCTGATTATCTGGAAGTTCTTGGTGACTTCAGATTTCCAGTTGGAGGATCAAACGACAGTTTGCAGATAATTAACTTTTTCCATGTTATGAATTTCACTTTCACTGGATTTTATACACATTTGTCTTCAGTGGGAGGTCAGCCAATATCACTGTAGTGCTTCTTCCTGGTGCAAGACTTACAGCACTGCTTCCCATAGAATTTGTGGTTGCAGACTCCATGCTGGGGCACAAGGGAACACCAGCTGAAATAATCCACACAAGATGGATCTTCTGTAAAACAAGACAATGTGCCCAATTAATATGAGTATAGAAAAACATCACAACTACTTTCTATCAAAGCCCAGAAACTGTTAGGCGTTAATTGAGTGATCTAAAACGTAGTGTTGTTGGCTAATGTCACTGGTTCTGTTTGGAATTAAAGCTAAACTCCAGAAAAACATCTACACTCATCACTAGGATACACATATGTGAACTGTCTTATCTGCCAAAGAATTTGTTATGTTGTCCGGCCACGTTCGTCATTCATACAACTATGTCAGACAGCAGCACAGTCAAGAAGGTGACACTAATTTCTCTGTTAGGCTTAGGGAATACAGGGGTATCACCTCCCTATCCAAAGATTGGGGATTAGCCAGTGAGCAGACACACTAATTATTGTATCAACTCTGCTTACTCTGCTCTCTTCTCCTATCAGAATTTTCTTAATAAAGTTCAGCACTGTCTTTACACTTAATGGCAGAGTATGTTATTTCACTAGTTAATATGTTGCTGTCCTTGCTAGAAGAGCGATGGTGTCCCTGCTCAGACTGTTCAGGTTTCTGTTTAGTATGCCTGCTGCTCTTTAAAAGTTAAATCACTATCTGAGACTTGATTAAAGCTTGAATGCTAGATTAAGTGGTAAATATACATAATTTAAAGGTGCTCAATATAGTAAAGGAAATGTATCAATATCCTAATAAAGCTGGCCAAAGCCTTTATTAGGTCCTTCAGTACATAGTTATCTTGTTTATTGGCTACATGTAACTAAAGATAGTAAGGAGCAGGAAGCACGGCAGGACATTTTCGGTGCTGGCTTATCTTACGAAAATTAAAAGCAGTCAGACAGGGTTTCCTTGTTTATAACCACCTTTGGGGCCTGTGCTGATGGGCTTTTGTTCACTTCAGCACTGCTTCTCTCCCCATACAAGCCTATGGGAATACAAAAGCAGCTTGAAGCAGTCAAATGCAGAAAGTCAAAAGCCAGCTCATCGGCACAGCTCAAAGCTCATTGAGACAGGCCCTTAGGCTCTTAGGCTATCTCACCTCTTCCAGCCAATCATTTCAGAAGAGCTTCAGCTCAACAGGTGACTGGTTAACTACAGCTATGTCTGTATGAAAAATACAGAGGCTGGCTATGGATAGGTTATGTCCTCAGTATGCATTTTAAGTCATAAATATCAAATTTTACTGGAATATACCTTCAATGCGTCTAAGATTCTCTAAGAATTATAACAAGGGCAGCCAGCCTGTATATCACACACCTTAATGCTGATTAATTCTTACCTTGAACTCCTGTAGAAGGGCAGAAGTGCATGTTGCAGGCTTGGGAAGAGGGTGGCTTCTGATTAGGTGAACAACCTACAGCAGGTCTTCCTTGATGGAAACACTGGACACTTCTGATTTGAACTCCTCCACCACAAGTCACAGTACACTAGATAGTGACAGATGACAAAAAAGTATATATCTATCACTAACAACACTTAGATTGGCATGATGATGTTGGTGTAAAAAAATAGACATCATGAATATCAATTTTAGCTCTCAGTAATTCTCAAAAGCAAATATTGTTAACTGTGCTCAAATTATGCTTCCCATGTGCACCAAACTTCTAAAGCCATTCACATTAAATTACTGCCTATGATTTAAATGCCATGCATCCGATGTTTAAATGCAGAGCCAGTGGGGCAAATTACCACAGGAGTAGAGAATGTTCACTTAGGGGAAAAGATAAAGCTGCATTCACTTTATTCTTTTAATCATGCGTGCAAAAAGCCTTTGTTTTACAAATGATTGGGTACCCAAAATATACATAGATTTATCATATTCACTAACTGAGCATTCTTATTTCTTTAATAAATGAGTCCCATTGCGGGAAAGGGTGAGTGTTTTTGGAGAAAAAAACAAATCTACTAAGAAATCAAGCATAAGATGTATTCTTGTAACATAAACATGAAGACAATCCTAAATAGCATAATGCGTGAGTTCTACCTTCACCTTGACTGGGGGATTCTGCCTCCAGTCTTGAATTTAGCTAAACAGAGCAAGCTGTTGCAGCGAGATCCACCCTCCAGAACACCCATAGTTCTTTCCCCAGTGAGATACCACCCTTGTCACACAGACCGGCCTTTCCCTCGTTTCATATAGTATAGTTGCTACTCAAACCATTTTGTAATTGAAGGGGTTATTCACAAAGCTGCCGAAGGCAGCCGAGTGAATAACCCAGCCAAAGTGAAGTGAGCCAAGCGCTGTTCGGCTTTTCACTTTTGGCTTGTATGGCTGATTTCAGCCGTAAATCGGCTGAACTTAGCCGTACATCGGCTGCCTTCGGCTGCACTTCGATCAGCCGATCATGCTCTGCATGTTTGTCTGAGTTGAAGTGCAGAAAGACTTCGACTCAGCCGATCCAACATGTGGATCGGCTGAGCCTAAGCTCCGGCAGCTTACTCGCTGCTGTTCACCCCTATTCTCATAGGGGCCAAACGGCACTGAGTGAATAGCTGAATGCTGCCTACCACCATGGTACCGAGCAGAATAGTAAATCAATTAAAAAAAAAAAGTTGAGAAAATATTTTTTAAAATGTAAATAAATATTACATTTAAAAAAATAAAGATGTTTTAAAAAAGAAATAAAATGTAAAAATGGGCAGTGCTAGCAGTGACAGCTAGCTCCGCCCAACTGCTTCCTATTGGGCGGCGCCTGCTAGAGTCTTCTGACAGGTCCCGGCCAATGAATAACAACTGGGCAGAGCCGACCTTGATGGCAAGGCCGGCTCCACCCAGTTGTTATTGGTTAATTACAGTTCAAAAAAATAAAGGTCATTTGGGGATGTTGATCTGTCATTACAACTGGGCGGAGCCAGCTGTCATTTGCAAGGCAAAAGGCCGGCCTTCTGCAGGCCGTTCGCCCAACTTCGGCTGTCACTTCAGCTCATTCGAGCCAATGCATATGCCTTCAGCTGCTCTACGGGCTATAGTGAATAGCCCGTACAGCAGCCCTTTGGTTTGACTGGCTGAGGAATGCTCTGTAAATGGCTCCCTGAATGTTATTAAAAGTACATTTCCAATCCAATCTTCCCCATCTAAAACTGTCAAAACAAATTTAAATGTTGCTTCCTTACAATATGGAACCTGCAAGGGTTCTGTACACAGTCCACCATATATTGTCTGCTTGTGCATTTGGCTCACTGTTTGTCTTAGAAGGTTCAACCAAGCTACAGGTTAAAATACAACCAGGTCCTCCGGCAAAAGGACTTTCCAATTTGTTGAGATGCTTCCAAAGGAATGTATACACTGCAGCTTATAACACTGAAACTGATCAGTTGGTGATAATGAAGATAGACCCTTCCATTCAGAAATCAGATTGAGAAAGGGCATGGTAAGATCATTATGAGTTACTTCAGAATAGAAAAAAGGTATGAATCTGCAAAAAAAAAGTTTGCTAGCTCATCTGGGAAGGACTGTTTTGTCCCTACTTAAATTGTGACAACCTTACTTTTATTGTATACTATAATTTGTATTATGGCATCAAATATCTATATATTGTTAAATCTAAGGTGAACCCTAGTAACTTGATTTATTGGTTACTTCTGTATACCCCGGTATGTTACTATGTGATTCCTCTCCTAACATGACTGAAGCAAGAACCATATGATTCTGCCATATTACTCTATTTACCGGTTGCCATTGAGATGCATGCCACCCATAATAAACAGTGTATGGTGGTTGTACAGGGCATGGCTTGTTATTGCAAGGTTGTTCCAGAGGTACGCTGACTTTTTGGACACTTCGACACCTTCTTTGTGGAACAGTCACAATCTTGCCGTGAATGTCCTTCTCGCCACACTTCAGTTCTCGTTTCCTGACTCCGGGCCCGCAGGTTGTTGAACACTGCACAAAAGAAAACAATATTCATCATAAGTAACATAAATACATTGTATGTGTGCCTGTCACCAACAAATTTCAACATATTAAATATCTCAATACAAAATATAAGTAAACCAATTTTAGTGGAAAGGCCAACTTCACCAAAGCTGAATCACATGCTGTCTTTCTTTATTTCTGGAGGCACAATGTTGTCACCAGTATTTCCCTATCCATCCAACTGTGAAGTTGTCACAATCCACCAATGCATTCTCCATAATGCTGCACTGCTTTGAAGTATGCATATTAAATAAGAGGTACCAAGGTATATTTGCACACTATGCACTAACGTTTGTTTGTAGTGCATAACAGTGTAACCCTGCAAATAGCACTTCCTCCCTAAACCACTCAACTGCACAGGCCTAGCAAATGTTGTACCTCCACCCATGACTCTGCAACACAGTGGACCTTGAGGTATCAATGTCTCCATCCTTGACTTGTAAAGTGTACTTAGAAATATCATTCCATCTTATCCCCCACCTAGCAGTGTTCCTGCACCTACCACTGCTATTCTATTACATCTTTATACTTCTTATCGGTTCACCAAAAGTGATATCGTGACAGGTGCAGTCTGCTGGGCTAAGTCAGCCCCTGGCATCTTTGATCTCTTGGAAGCTCCAATAGGGAAATCTCACTACCATAGTTCCCACTTCTGTTCCACCTGGGAATTTTACCATTCCCACCCACTTTGGTGTGTTCCAGCATCCCTGCTGCATTCTCCATATTATACAGAAAAATATCCAACATGGTAAATGGGACTTTGTTATAATGGCCTCAGGAAACATGCAAACTAAAGAGCAAAGATCCCTTCAATAGAGTCTATTGGTGATATAAGAAATCATAGCGTAGTTTCAATGTCCATCATCTACCAAAAACTGAGATGTAAGTTTTGGATAGACCGACCCTTTAAAAAGAAGATAATACATTTATGCAGTAAATTTGACTAAAACAAAACAAATCAAAGTATATTCTCAGTCTTTCTATAGATGTGAAGGTTACCTCAGTCCATGCAGATATCACCCATTGCAGTTTGTCATTTTTCTGGCAGCGGGTGAGCATGCAACTCTCAGTGGACTCTGGCTTGGAGCTGACTGGACACAGGTCTGCTGGAAGGATTTTATACTTCTCCGAGTTGACACTTCTGCAATAAACCTCTCGTTTCCTAATTCCCTTACCACACGATCGGGAGCACTAGACCAGACAAAGAATGCAAGCTGTCAGACAGAGCTCATGTAAAATGCTTATATCAACATGACGTGTATACTGCTCACTTACATGCATATATATACCAGAGGAGCTTGCGCTCAGTCCTCTGGGCTAGTAGTGGGCCAAGGCTGCATTTTTCCTGAATTAATAATTTTCATCATTCTACGTCTCAATCTACAAATGAGACATTTTGGCTGATACATCTGTATCTATTTAGCGACAGACATAAGATCTGGCTTGTTACAATACCAAAGGGACCAGTGATTTTGTTGTCATGTGTATAATATGAATGTAATGGAGTCCATTATTCCACTGTAATAAGCTGTTGTGGAAATTGTAAGTTGCAGTATGGTAAGAGACGTATTTAAAGAGACAGTGAAAAAAAAAACAACGCACATTTTAAAGTGGAACTCCAGACAAAATGTATTGTTTGTTTGTTCAGGATACAATGGGTAAACCTGGCCATATACCAATATTTTCTTTGTTCAACCCACAGGCCAAACAAAGAAAATATTACAGATTCCTCCATCAATGCTTACTAGCTTTGATTTGGAAATCTCCCACTGTTTGCATTGTATTCTGATGGCAGCTGCTGGCTGGTGTCAGAATACCTGAGCAGAGCCGGCTGCCAGTGAGCTCTTTAGAAGATTTTTCAACCGACTCCTTTGATCAGCTGATGTAGGGATGCCGGCCGAAAGGGTACCATCAGGGGCACCCACTGTGCAAATTTGAACTGGTTTATCAAGAACTGGTTCAAATGCGTATAGTGTATGGCCAGCTTAAGGATTAGAACCATGGTCAAATATATTGATAAAAGGGGCCTCAAGTGTGGCTCCTGTCATCACCAAAGACCTGCATATAATATTCAGTGTATGTAATACTACTGAAACTATCAGAGACTGCACACATGCAACAATAGATGGTCAGAGACTGCAAACTTTTTATAGGAGTTGATCTGGAGATCACTGCTATTAAATCCCCTTTACAAATCAGTGATTTTTCATGTTTGTTACGTAAAACCCTTTTAATAATTGACTGTGCCACATTTTATGTTTTTTTTTTTTTCTTAGCATGATCCATAATACAAGATTAGATAAAGATTAAAAAAAAGAGAGAAAAAGTAACAGAAAAAAAAGACCAGAAATAGTAAGATGGTGTGAAATAAATAAACCAAGCCACTTAACTACTAGAAACCAGTCTAAAGAATAATTCCACTCACTGGCCTGAGTAAGCACCTAGGTAAGGAACTCACAGACTACTGTCTGCAGGGGCTCTAACAGCGGCACAATCAGTGCCAAAGGGTCACAGGTTGGACAGCGGGGAATTACAGTCTCTGCCAGGTTTTACTGAAGTCTCAGTAGGATTGTAAATGTATCCAACTAAGGCAGATGTAAAACATGGCAAAGGTTCTAATTCACCCACTCATGAATAGCTTTATCCACTGTCCCAATTAACATGCATAATGTCCCATTAACACAATCATTTCACTCATCCAAAAGTGATTTACAAGTCCAGAAAAGCTAAATGTCGGCACTTCTGAGGCAGTCCTCTATAAAATATCCAGTTGCATTAAATATACATATTTATGAAAACTGGATTTCTTATAGGGGACTGACCTGGAAGTACTGATGTTCCTTTTGCGTTTTACGTCTGTTTGTGCATGCAGAAGGAAAAAGAGATTTCCATCTATTGGCCCCAATGATAAGGCGTCTTTACCCAAATAACTACACTGCCATGCAGAGCTAAACATGGACACGGAAAAGTTCACCCCATCAAGAAGATAATGGGATAACCCACACCTTGCATCCCCAAGGGAGGAAGATGAGAGTATACCAGCCTGCATTGGATGGATTATACCTCCTTGTATCAGTACAACACAGCTATTGGATACTTGGTTCCCTTAGGAATTTGTTGCAGTGGTCTTTACGGTATCTTGGCTGCTCACAAAAATTTAACAATTAAACTAACATCAGCATTTAGGTCAGCCTAATAGTGCTATCATTGTTCTTTTAAGCATTTCATTTGTAGGTGTATTTTACATTAATTTATTTTATATATTTGTGAGCTTTTCTTGCTCTTGTTTAATATACAAAAGCCAAAGAAAGAGTTTAGGATTGACTTGTTCAATGGATAGCAAAAACACCTTTTACCATTTTCTGCACCAGTTTGCCTGGTTACTGTTTGTTCTGTTATAGAACACATCCATAATCAAATGGAGGGGTGTGCATATATGGCGACAAAGCCATGCTGCAATGCAAAAGGTTGGTAAATACCTGAGACCAGGGCCCTGTACTCCATTCTGCTGGACAGTCCTGGATGTGACACTTCTCGACTTGAATGGGAGTGCTTACTGGACAGTAAGAATGCCCCATCAGTTCTTCGCCTTTTGTTGTCTTCTGTACACACAGCACTGACCGAGTCTGTTCACCTCCACCACAAGATGCACTGCACGCACTCCACTCACTGGTTATCCAGCTGTTGCCAAAAAATCAATTCTTATAGCATATGATAAATATGACATACATGTTATAAAGTCTTATTAATGAGCATATTTACAGATTTACTGCCTGAATCAACCAGAGCAATGATGCAAAGTGATCCTTGGCAGCCTATCAGAGGAGATGTCCATTCAGCATAGAAATCAACATTAAAGAAAAAGTGAAAATGCTATAAAATATCCTTTTCTAATCAAAGAATGAGTCACAAGTCATAAAAAGAGGTAAAGGACTATAAAAGGGATAAAAAGATGAGAGCTTTCAATTACAGAATATGGAGTTGCGTGCATTATACTGTATGTATGTATTGCATGTATAGTAAACTCCCCATTATCCGGCATTCAAGGAGCCAAAACTTTCAAGCAACTTGGTGCACACTAAAAAAAATTGTTAGCAACTAAATTTAATTTTGTCTGTTTGCTTTTTATCTTTGTTTACATCTTGCTGCCGGACGTTGGCTAGATTCCGCAGTCAGCAGCAGAATGTAAACAACGGAGAGTAATAGCCGGCCTGCGATTGGCTATTTTAAATAGCCAATCACAGGCTGGCTATTGCACCCACCCAATGAGCAGAGGAGTGGACCTAAGAGAGAACCGAGAGCAGTGCTATTGCTACCTGCTGCTTACATTCCCCTGTCGGCTGCGGTTGCTTCAGAGATGCCACCTGAGATGCCACACAGCCCAACTGAGAGTTCACACAGCCTAGGGTGTCATTGCTGCCTGTGGTGTGGGTGAGGTGCAGCATAGTAACATAGTGATGTGCCACTATGGCGATAACCCTTTCCACAGCCTTGACCCTAAACATCAGTATAGCAGTTTTATTACTTATAAATACAATTTTTAAGGTACTTTAGAGCATTTTATAATAAGCAAAGTTACTCAGAATGGATATCAGATGCATGCATGGCCTGAATGATGAAACACTCCTAGGTTCATATATGCTTTAAAGAAGAACTGGAATTTTACAAAACTTACCCTTGCAGTGGGGCTACCCCTGCAGTGCAAGGGTAAGTGCCGATTTTGGTCTAGGGGTGCAAATAAAGAAGATACCTGCTGCGAGGACCTGTCTAGCATTTATGGCGGGATCGAGGATCAGGCGAGTATATTTTTTTATTTGCGCTCCTAGACCAAAATGAGCAGTTAACCCTTACACTGCAGGAGTTAATTTTCTAAAATGAAACCTCTCACACACCTGAGCAAAAGAAACTGAGCAAATAAAGAGAAAGCAGATGTCAGCTTCAGTGAAAGCTGCATTTCCTGTCCCATCACACCCCTTGAACCTTCCAATAGGACGCAGTCACTGTTTGGCTGACTCATGATAGTCAGTGTCTACAAATTTTGGCCATGAAGAGTAGTTCATATTTTAATGATGTTATACATAATAAAGCTCAATATTTTAATGTATTTCTTAACTAGTAAACTAGTTTGTGGTGCTGTTAGTTGCAGGTAGCTAAGTGTCCCCCCAACAGAACAGAGCTACCAACTCAACCGCTATGCCGTATACTACCAGAAGACATGGGCAGGAGTGTTTTTATGACACCAAGGCAAGCTAAAAACTTTGAAGGAAATATGGAAGGACATATTGTTACACCTAACAACACAGTAAAAAGGTTGCAATAATATGTAGTTAGGAAAATACATAGAAAAGTAATGCAAGTGAAGCACTAAAATTGCGGTTTGTACATAGAAAGGGATCTATTGAACTAGGGCAAGCTGAAATCATGGGAAAAAAAATGTGCCATTTTGCTTATTATTTACCTAACAATTTTTAAAAGGGTGCAATAACATGTATTTGACAACATACATGGAATATGAAAGCACCAAAATTGCCTTGATTTGCAGTTTGCCCTATTTATATATATGAAAGGATATAGAATTAAAGTAAATGTAAAGCCTAAAAGAAAACAACGCACGGTTCCTTGGGTGACCCCACACCATAGCCATTGGGAAGATAAATATAAAAACTCCTGGGCACAAAGGCAGCTCATTGCCATCTAAATGCATCTTGGGAGACTGATATCACCTGACTTCCATCTTTTAATCTGTCCTGTTCTTAGGGTTGCCACCTGTCCAGGATTCACCCGGACAGTTCGGGTTTTGAACGCTGCATCTGGGTTTCATGGCAGCTGAAACCCGGACACATGATGTCAGGCAGGCAGGGGCAACCACAATTAAGATAGGGGCTACTGGCCCCTCAACTGTGATATTTACATATGAATTGGTGATGTTATTTACATATAAATAAGCCACGACTCATTCTCCCAAAAAATGTCCATGCATCGCTAGAGTGCTCGGGTTTTGCTAGAAGAGAAGGTGGCAACCCTATCTGTTCTCCTGTTTAGCTTCATAGGAAACAATCTTTCATAAAATTCTACATCCCTGAACTCCCTTTTTTTTCTACTCTTGTTTACAATACAGAAATGCACAGGCACTTCCACTGACAGGAGTTAGAATGCTGTCAGTAATTATCACTAAACCCCAGAATGGCGCGGGAAGGCTTGATAGATTGCTGCTGTTACATTTCAGAAGTGGGTAACGTGGAAAAGTTATATTTTGCTGTAAATATGATATGAATTGCAAGTAATGTAAGTATCTGAATTTGATTTGACATATGCAATCACCTGTACACCAGCACCATTCAGGCGTGCTGCATACAAATGTGGTGACAAAGATCATGCTGATTAGAGGACAGAGTGAGCAGACAGATGACCCTATTAGACTGCTTCTGCTCCTACACTGTCATTCAGGAAGCAGAGGAATAAAATAGCTACTTTATGTTTTTAATTTGTATATTTAGCTATTTGCCTGTCATCTTTACGTAAGAATGGGCTGCAATGCTAAATTTGAATGCTACCAGTGATAAAGTACAGGGTAGTTTACAGAATGTAAAATATTTTTAATAATAATCATGCTTGAATATGCAAACATAAAGGAGCGCTCGGAACACAATAAAAATGAATGATGCATAGTGGGGACAATAATTCATTAGGATGACTTCTGGTCCTGTCACATCACAGTTGAACTCTACAGTTGAATACTAGTTAAATACAGAATAAAGCATATTTAAAGCCTCGGAAACACAAGCTAAAGACGTGCCGGTAGGTTAATGGGCTCCTGTCTATAGTGGGCCTGTATACTGTACATGCATGTGAGATAGGGACGTTAGATTGTAAGCTCCTTGAGAGCAGGAACTGATATGAATGTGCAACGATGCTAACGGCTGTGTAAATTGTCGGTGCTGTATACTGTAAATACCAGTAATAAATAAATAAATAAAAATACGGCACTCAGCGGCTGGTGTTTTCAGCGCTTACTAAGCACCTCCACTCCTGACCTCAAAATGGTATACTAAGCCATATAGATGTGTGCTGACCTGGCCTTATATGCAATGTCAGTACAAGCTTAGACATACTCATCAACAGAGTCCTTCAGTGTTCCCCTCCAAAGAGAATGATAGAACCACTAACCCAACAGAGTCTGAAAAAACAGAGTGCTGGATGTTCTGCATCTACATCCATAGAAAGGTACCCTAAAACATTTCATTGGATTCTACTCATCTTGCACAGTGCAGTACATTTCTAAATTGAACCACATTTCTCAGACACTCACAAAGTCAAGTTTACACTGCCCAGTTTCCTTAGAGTCAACCCAGAATTCTTCTTTGGCACTATCTGCCTGCTTTGTAATCTGAAGTTGTGTCTGGCCAAAGGAAGTATTGGTCTCCATCTCTAGCCTGGTGCTTGCATCTGGAGCAGCCATTATTTTTAATGTTCTATGTTCTAAAGCAGGCTGAGAGTGCCAGAGGATAGCAACACTGTGCTCACCATGAACAGCCTAGGTAATGTATATTTGATATGTTGTTCTACACTGCCTGGCCATAAAAAAGTCACATATTCTAATATTTAGTTGGGCTGCCTTTAGCTATGATCACGATATGCATTTGCCGTGGTATCATTTTAATAAGCTTGTGCAATGTCACAACATTTATTTCTGTCCAAAATGGCATTCATTTTTCACCAAGACCTTGTAGTGATGATGGGAGAGTCGGAACACTGCGTAAAGTCTTCTCCACGACATACCGAAAATTTTCAATGGGGTTAAGGTCTGGACTCTGTGGTGGCCAATGCATGTGTTAAAATGATGTCTCATGCTCCCTGAACCACTCTTTCACAATTTGAGAACCATGAATCCTGGCATTGTCATTTTATAATATGCCTTTGCCATCAGGGAGGAAAAAAATCCATTGATGGAAAAACCTGGTCAATTAAATATATTCAGGTGGGCAGCTGACCTCATTTTTGGGCACATAATGTTGCTGAACCTAATCCTGACCAACTGAAGCAACTCCTATAGCTCTTACCTATTTGCTTAGCTAAATCCAGGTGGTGACTTTTTTCGGCCATGTAGTATATTTGTGGGTAGTATTGGCAGGAAAACTTGGGATATTCATATAACTTCAACATTCTGTCGATCTGTCATTGTGTTGATACATGGTTGTCACAGAAGGTAACCTTTCCCTTTAAACTTTTACAATTCTACGATTTTACTTGCCAAGGACTGTGACAGATTTACTTTAAACTGCATATGTGGTATTTTGGGAGTAACAAAGGCTGAAATATACAAACCAGTCATTCAAGTCACTGTCTTCATTGGTAGCTTGAGGATATGATTAATATCTTGTTAAGGAAATAAAACATTTAGAGATACTTACTAGGCTGGACAAGGTTGGGAATTGCATGTTTTTTGCTCAGGGAAAGGCCTGTTCAAAGGACTACACAAGCTGGAGTTCACTTGAATCTGAAGGTCTTGAAAGCATACAAACTTCACAGCCATGTAACCTAACAGGGAAATCATAAGACTGTTAAAAATGTCTATTAAAAAAATAACATTCAGTGGCAAACATACTACAAATCTACCAGATCTTAAATAGTTAAAGAGTGTTTAAAGCCCAGCTGCAGCCAAGCCTTTTATTTCATTTTGGATAGAGCGGGAAAGGATTAAAACCTCTGTCCAGTTTGTATTGGCATATGTGTCCCTATTGAGTGAATACCCCAAGGACAGGAAAATAAAGTGTTGGGAAGGCCCTCCAACACATTTGAGGAAGACTTCTCCCAAAAAAAGTTATATTGCTGTCCTTACCCTACTATCCCATTTTCGACCTGACACTTTTTGTATGGCTGTCAAATCTGCTAAGGCCTGTTTATATACTTTAAGTCAAAAACAAGTGAGAAATCAGCAATTTTAATTAAAAAAAAGCAAAACTTACCACCCCCACAAGTGACAGAGCAATCTGTATAGACCGGAACCCAGGAATAGCTTGCCTTCCTCATAGAGTTGTCTTCATTTACAGAATATGGTAACGTATACTCCCATGTAAATCCTCCATTCTTTCCTTGATAAAGGATCTGAATAAAGACATACATTCAAGTATTATACACAGCCTATTGTAACTATTTTATCATTATCAAGATTTATTTTCTAAATGTGTTAGCCTTTTCCAATTAGGAAAACCACACATCTGGGCCCCATGAAGAGATACCCAATAGTCATTGGTCAGGTTAGACTTTGCATATGGCTAAAACCAAACAGCTCAGTTGGTCAATATTCATTCAGAAATCAATGCATTGGATTGCCTAGCACACTTTTTTACCATACTATTTCGATAAAATCACCCAAAATGGTGGCCACTTACATCATAATTGACCGTTGAAGCTAATGTGGATGAAAGAGAACACAGCAAGTACTCATTAAATTATTAAGGGGCTATTCACAAAAGGGTGAAGGGTTTGGAGAAGGCAGGAGAAGTGAACAATCTAAGACAAAATAGCTAATTTGGAAAATTCAGCTGACTTTCCAGTTCAGCTATGTTGTCTTAGATTGTTAATTTCTCCTGCCTACTCCAAACTCTTCACCGTTTTGTGAATAACTCCCAGTGAACCTGAGGAAACTCGGTCCTGCCCTCTTCCCTCTTGTCCCGCCCACCTATTATCCTTTTTAGTTGGCTAAATAGGTTTTATTGAGAGAAAGGTAGCGTATGAAAGGAAACAGCTTCTGCTCTTTCTTTAGAAAACCTTAAAAGCTCTGAGAACATGGAGCCAAGGTTGCATCCTGCATTAAATATATATTTATTTAAAATATATATAAGTAGAACATAATAAACATAAAAATAAAATATAATTAGCTATCACAAACATCATCTGAGGCTATGGACAGTTACTCCGTATTGCTCTATTGTTTAGAAAGTAATAGAATCCCATTGGAACCCACTGAGGCAGCCTAAGGCTTCAAATGAGGCCAACATTGTATGATTACATCTTTTTATGATTGAGAAAATGTAATAAAACCTGTTTAATTAACCCAAGTGGGATTGCAGGAATGTAAAAATGTACCTGATGGACAGTAAAAAGCTTACATATGCAATGCTGCAGGAAAAAAGCTCTTTTAATTTGATGGCAATGTCAAGGTCACTAACGCAGTGTTAGGAATTAAATTTCACAGTCTTCTCTTCTAAACATGAACATTGTTTCTTTTTGTGTTTGTACTTATGATGATAGGAAAATATTTCAGTAGGCACACCCCTAAGCTCAGCATACAATATTTAGAATCTTTGGGGATAAGGATTTAAAAGTTAGATTTTTGGGGAACTATGTAGACTGAGAGGTGTATCCTAGCCTAGTGTGCAGATGGAGCATCTCTTGAGAGTGAGGTGGAATAACTTGAGAAATGTACAAGGCCAACTGCCTTAGGCTACAAAAAAGGGACGTAACTACAAATCATGGGCCTCCATAGCAAAATTTTGATGGGGCCCCTGATGACCTCTCTCTGTGGCACCTGGCAATATCAACTTTGATAATACTGTAATTGATGTTAACATAAAGTATGACTAAACAAAGGACAGCCCACTGGAGAGCTGTCAAAATAGTCAGTACACTACTAGGGACCAGTGCTGTGGATATAGGTTGTGAAGGAAGAGCAGCAGTGCAGGAAATTCACGTTTAACCTTAATTTTCTAGCTAATTATTCTATCCACAGTAACTCCTCAGCCATTTTGATATCAGACCTCAAGGCTTAAAGAGACCCCAACTTAAAAAATTAAAGTAAAGAAAGTGAAGAAAATTAAGTATTTTAAAGGGTAATTCCACTTTCCCAGATACATTTGGTAAGGTGACTGTGCTGATCAATGAGAAGTGCTTCTGATTGGGCTCACCAATAAGACACATTTCTTGCTAAGTAGCACTTCTCATTGGTCAGGTGACCACGGTGACCAATGAGTGCTCGTTATTTGCGGGTGCAATTCAAAATACAGAGTGCAGGGCTGCGCTACATGGCAGTATGGGGTACAGAAAGTGCACCATTACCAGCAGAAGGGAAGAAGCGTTCACCCAAAGGTAAGTATAGTAGGGGAGGGAGGGGAGGCCATATTGAAGGGGGTAATTCAATGTTCCCAAATTTACCTGGGGAAGTGGAATAACCCTTTAAATGCTTTCTTGTAGTGTTTTTCTTTCCATAAATGGTTTATTAACTTACAATGTGCTTTTCAACTTAATATACAATTAGACTCCACCAGGAGAGTAAATGCCCTAACATAGCCCTCTCCCTCCTAGCATTTCATAGTCCTCTCTTCTTCTGGGAGTGTCTAATAACTGTCTGTACTGGCTCAGTTCCTATGCCCCTTCCTACCCTAGACGGGGAAGGAGTGAAAGAGAATACTACAGCGTGTCACTTGAATGACAGCTTTAAATCTGCTGGAGTTGCTGACATCACATTTAAATCTGCTGGAGTTGCTGACATCACATCTAAGATGGTGACAGCCAGCAGAAGTCTCAGGGCTATTTGGATGTGTGCACAAGGGAGGCTTTTACAGGTAAATAACATGCAAAAAGTACATTGAATCTGCATATAATCTCATGAGAAGATTGTTGTTGAAATGAATGGTCTTTCAACAGGATCTTTTTAGGTGTAAATTCTAAACCCTCTCACCACCCCAGCAACTGCTGAATGAGATGGTCTAGTAGTCAGTAAAAAATAAATAAATACATAAATAAATAAGAGAAGTAATAGCAATTAAAAATAATCAGTGAGGACACACTCTGGGAAGATTTTAAAAACCAAAGGAAGGATGTTTGAGGAATGCATGGTTACATTGCGGTGCTGGACAGGGGCTGTAGCAATAAATCTACGCTGATATCCTCCAACTTCTACATCCTACTCCTTACTGCACAGATTAAAAAAGGGATCAGTGACTATTGGTGGTCCTGATGATTGCATCTTCAGGTCAGCTCTTCTAGACTGGACACCACAAAGTTTATTTGCCTTAACAGCCTTCCTAGTGTTTGTTCTCCCTTATGGCTAATCTATATTTAATAGGATAAGCAGGAAAAATTGAAAGATCAATAATAATTGCCTTAACAGCCTTCCTGATGGGCTCCTTTGCACACCAGGCCACATACCAACCGCATGTGCTGCTATGGCTATCACACCACTGGTCACAAATTGCACAGGGGAGCAGCCATATTTGCTCTATATATATACACAGGCTCTGCTTCCTGCTTTGCAGTGCTACACAATAATTGCTTTACTGCTTCTTCTTCCGATGGAAGTCTGTGTGTCAGTTGAATGATTGGAAATATTGCTTTCTATGTGAAGCTGATATTTTATCTCAACAGTTGTTAAGGAGGGAGGCAGAAGGATTACAAATGTTGTGTTTGTTCTACCTAATGGCTAATCTACAAGCCTCTATAATTAAGCGGATAAGCAGGAAACATTTAAAGATCAATAATAATTACCTCAAACTTAAATCACTCAAAATATTGACACAGTGAAAATACTTTCCTTTTATGTCTCAAATTCCACTAAAGCTCCATATAGAAAATAATTATTTCTGATCATGTCAATGTCTCTACTGCAATTCAGTGATGGGCTTTTACGCCTGTACTATCTGATTCTTTCTGACTGTACTGGTCCTTTAATTAGAAATACTGGTTCTAACAGAAGAAATGAGGCAGCAAGGTGGCAGGATTGGAGCTAGGATCTGTAAATCAGAGATCTTATGACGGGCATCCTCAAATCATTAAATAATCCATCTATAGCTGAAATAACACCATTGGTTAGGGCAAACATGCATTCAAAACACCTGGGGTGGTCCTGTTGCATACCATCTCCTACCAACTAGCAGGAGGAGCTGTATGATGTGCATTGTAGGTGTACGGACCATTACAGCTGCACCTCCTATTTACTAAGAGACAGTGTGCAGTCAAGTGCCTTAGTGTTCAGTCTTGACAAAGTGGGATTGACTGCATGTTGCCATGGTTAAGCACCCAAACAGTATTGCCCTGGATATTGGTATACTTGGCATGGAGTGTGCAGGTACAGGTGTGAACAGACAGACATGGAGCCATCTCTTCCTGACCTGTCTGCAAGTTTAATGTGTAGGAATTGAAGGCCCATCTGTAGCATTGATGGTCCCATTGACCGCCGCCTCTGAAACTGTATTTCCAGTCTGTGGTGCAATGCTGCGTATGACCTACACATGTGAGTGCATTACTTTTTTTATAGTGAATACAATTTTTTTGTGATATTGCACTTTGTGCACGTCCATATTCCCTTCCCCCTGTGAGCCCCAAAGTCCCAGTCCGCCTCTGAATCTAAGCAATCTGCAATTTGCTACACCTAAACACATATATGAGAAAAATGGTAAAAATTGCCATTTGAAACTACTGTAACAATTCTATTTTAAGGCTTAAAAAGGAATATTGCCAGCAGCAATTTTAACATTTCCTAAATAATAAATGAAGTCTTTCTAACAACTCCACATTAAAAGTCTGAATGCAGAGCCAGTAATTTAAGCCCTTCAAGTTGGAAGGACCTCCGGGGTTACAGCCTACTTATCTGGCTTGGATCCAGGACCTACTCAGCCATGTGGAAATAAGTTTTAGATTTAAAGTTGGTGAAGGAGCTCATAAAGAACGTCAAGGCTCAGAATAGAGTTTTAAGGTCTACCGCTGACAAGCGCGCCACCTGACTTTAAGACACAGCTCTCAGCAAGCCTGACCACAGGGCAAAGTCTTATAAAATTTACAGTTAGTTCATTTCAAACCACAGACTCCAAGCCTAGGATTTGCCAGAGTCACTAAAATTAACCATAACGTTTGGTTATTCAAGCAGTGGCAAACCTAATCCACTCCATTGAGTAAACTATTGTCACTGAAGCCTCTAGAATCAATCCTGCATAGTGGGTGTATGCCTAGGGTGGCAGCAAATCAAAATAGTCACCATTTATTGAAATCATTAAAAGGAATATAGACTTATGATAAACATCAAAAAGAAATAAGCCTCATGTAAATAATCATATCAATATGAGTAAACATTTTTTTTAAATGTGTTTATTTGTAATTATATATACCTATATTTCATTAAATGTACAGGTTCTACTTCCTGCTTTCTGATTGGTCGCTATGGGCAAAAATAATGTTTTTTGTTAATAGACTTTTTTTTACATAAGCCCCAATGGATGGTCACATGCAGCAAAGTATTGACTTGCAGCAAACTTTATGCAACAAACATGACAGGAGTACATTAAAGGAATGTATCACTTTGGGTCTGACATGTCACAGCGAAGATTCCCAACCTGTGCTAGAGGCCTAACGTGGTGCCTATTCTAGTGAAGAGTAAACCTTCTGACCATTGCACTGTGAATAATTACCCCAAACAATGTCTTCTCGAAGTCATCAAATGACATTCTCCAGCTCAGGGTTGGAGCCTTTGCTGTAAAAGTTAACAGCTCATGTGTCAAGCTCCTATTATAGACCTTTCACTAGAGAAATATGAGGCTGCCATAGTTGACCTTCTGAAAATTATATTTACCTGTTGTTCTGATCCTCTGGCTTGGAGTCATTGATCTAAATCAAATAAACACAATGGCTTAGCAGTTACCACTCCTGCCCTCAGCACAAGGGTCCTTGGTTTGCATCCCATCCAGGAAACTACATGCATGGAGTGTGCATGTTGTCCCTGTGCTTGTGTGGGATTCCTCCCACACTCCAAAGACATGCTGGCAGGTAATTTGCTTTCTGTCTTAACTGAGTAGTATGTGTGTGTATACATGTAAGGTAGGGATCTTAGATTGTAAGCCCTTTGAGGGCAGGGACTGATGTAAATGTGAAGCATGTAAAGTTCTGTGTAATATGTTAGCACTATATCAATACCTGTAAGAAATAAATAGGTCAGAAGTCTTTATCTACATACTTGGCTTAATGACATAAAGTCATGATGCATAAGAGTCAAGCAAGTAACATTTGCAGAAAGAGAGTCGGCAATAGCAGCCTCCCTATTTAACTTAGAACAGGTTTTCCTTAAAAGCAAACCAGTGCTTCGCACATTTAGGTAACACATTTTCTTTAATGGAGGTACCTTTCCTTAACTCCCCCACTGCTACATTCAAGTTCCAGGATCTAAAAAAATACATGGTTCTTCTGGTTTACCTATTCACCATCTCACCTATTCCATGTGACAATACAAGTGCTTAGTGACTGGACTAGCACTTTCACATGGGGGCATGGGGAGCCCTCAGTGCCCTGTGTAAGCTCTAATTAGAGACACTGAGAGCGTATATAGGGTGGCTTCTACCATTCCCGAATGGAGCATAGGGAAAGAAGTAAAGTGAATATGTGCTGCTGGGAAGCAAATCACAGTGTTAATGTAAGTACCTATGTATGTTATTTAACACAGGTCTACCGGCATTGCTGCTTAATTCCATTGCATTTAATTTCATTACGCTGGCTCTTTCGTGGCCACTGGGAGTTTTGAGCAAAGAAGAGGATTAAACACATCAGAGTTCTATTGAAAGCTTGCATACATCAGTATAAGGCTGTTAACAACACAACTCATTCATTAAACATTTCCCTGGTGGGACTTGGCCAGTCCAGAATATAATTAAGTGTTTATATATGGTCAGATCCTTTTGGCTTGTTATAGTTGGAGCTTTGATCACAATCAAACCGCACATCTCCCAAACCAGCCTAACTAAAGATATCTTGTATTTGATGCAGTGACTCACGTTTAGAACATGTACGTCTCGCCTTCCAAGAATCTCTAAACCAATGTGTTCTTAACCTCAAATTAATAGCTATCTACCAGGGTAGTATTGCTAACTGTATTTTTAGTCATGAACATGCTGATTTTGACCACTAGAAAATGAATTATCACAAACAGCAATGGACATTGGTAGTCCACTACTGGTTGGAGATTCCTTTTGAGTTATGCATATATCACACCCCTTTCTACATGCCTCCAACTATGTTAAGTGCTTATTACAGGTTAAAGTGGAGCAGTTATATTTCGACTGGAAAATTATGTTAGCAGTTTTACCTGCAAATCATAAAAAATTCTGTTCAGGAGCTCTTGTGATTTACACACATTTGACAAACTTTATAGGTAGAAAGTGATATCACTATATAGAGCCTGTAGCAATCCAACTTCTGGTGCATGTCTATGCCTTCATTCTACTTGAAGTACAATAAACATCACAAAATGTGTGAGTTCATTTATATCCTATCTCCTTCTGCAAACCTCCTGCTTCCTGTGTCCTCTGGCAACTCAAAGTAGTGCAACAGAGCCTGTATAGTTTAGGGCCCATTCAGATATGCCTTACCACACATTACCACGATGCACGCCAATGCACCTGTGTAAGTACAGTGCATTGCTGTGCTATATATTGTGAATGCCACCCCACAGCACTGTACAGTAGTGGCCAGTGCACATACCATGCATTGCGACGTGCTACTTCATAATAATAAGTCATGAGCATTTTTTATTCTGTTGTGATGTATCATTATAAACAGGCTGCTTTAACACAATGTATGTTAACAAGCAGTTGTTTATCCACAGCAATTAACTGCTTAACACTAAACTCAGGAGTTAAATCTGAATAATGCATTCAACTACCTTAACTATTAACAAAAATGTATCTTATTTGTGCAAAACTCAGCTGTAGATCCTCAAATCATCTCAAATTTGGTGCGGACACTGTCCTTCTTTCTGGAGGGTGGCTACCTTTTTTCTCAATGGTCCCTGTGTGTGTTGTAAATTAGCCACCGCTCCAAGCTCACTCCTGCGATGGACTACAATCTCATGTTTAGTTAGCTAATTTGTATCCAGGTTGTAGTCCATCACGGGAGTGAACATGGAGCGGTAGGACAGTGTCAGCATGAATTCAGAGATGGTTTGAGGATCTACAGTTAAAGTACTTGAATGCATTTTTAAGATTTAACACCTGAGTTTAGTGTTGCTTTAAATGTGGATAATAAATGTTTGGGTCCTCACACTTTGAGTTTGTACTCTGTGAAATTTCTACTACAGGGATATTGTAGAGTTAATACACTATATTTTATGTAAATGGATTTTCAGTTTACAAATACATAAATGCATTTAATGAGTTCTGCTTTACAATTATATTGCTTCAAGAAGGCAGTATTCTGGCCGACTAATGTACCTATTAAGGCATTTCAGGGTTCTCCCATAATTTCAGGCATTGTTGATGACAAGTGCAGGCTCCCTCCAGCCTGGAAGATACCCCCTCTTCCTCATATTGTTTGGATGTCACCAGAACGGGCAATTCAACTAAGAGGACGCTACGGTAGTGGTTGTAAGGAGACCTACACATGTGCTAATTGAGCAGGATACCACATGTGCTGCGTGAATGTGCTTAAACAAAAACCACCTAAATGGCACTCTTTGGAAGCTGTGATTTAAATCTGCAGAGCACCATGTCCAGTTCAACTCCAGGAGCAAAGCACAACTTCACTTCAAGTCCCTTTAGTCAGCAATATAGTGATCTAGGAATCCGGTTTGCTCACAGGGTAATTTATCAGGAGAGGTATTTCCAAACACACCTACAATAGGTTCTTTTCTGTCTCACACATACCAAAAGCTTGAACATGTTAATACAAAGTTCACAGGACACTTCATCTCAACAAAATCCAGATTGAGATTTGCCTTGGAGGTTTGTATCTGATTGACAGGCATCATGAATACAGAGTGGGAGCATAGATTTAGGAAACAGGCCAACTGCACATGTGAGGAGTTCTTTGAAACCTGGCTGCAGTGGATTACATAGTAATCATATGAAAGTACACTAAGTGAATTCTTTAACTTTAGCGCAGTTGCAATGTTTAGAGAACTGCATTAGCAGATCACTCATCAATTGTATTTGCTTTCTAAATGCCCCTACCCTAATAGTTGTTATATGCTATCTGTATTAAACTGATAAAAGAGATACCTGGTGACATCTGATACACTTTATTGCATGTTTCAGATGTTATTTAAATTTAAAATTAGGATTAAATATAGAATCTTACTTCCAAAACCAGTGTTTCATTTGTCGGTCCGGCTGCATAAAGGCTCTCCGTCTGCTGAAAAGGTCTTTGATAGTTGAAAACAGTTCCAGCAAACGAGAACTTCCCAGGCCAGTCGATGGTCCAGTCTCCAGTTAAATAATACTTCTTGTTTAGGTTCCTCACAGCAAGGTAGCTGGTTGAGACTTCAATCTCCTGAAAATAGATACTTCTGGCTCCTGCCGGTATGGTCACCACCGTGTAGTAATCTGAACAGCAATAAAGACAGATGAGCATGTGTTTTGTTTAATTCTTGCAAGACGTGTACTAAAACAAGAGGATAAGAGTCAATAAAAGGACATCCACTATATTGCCAAAAGTATTGGGACATCTCCCTTTACACACACATGAACTTTAATGGCATCCCAGTCTTAGTCCGTAGGGTTCAATATTGAGTTGGCCCACCCTTTGCCGCTATAACAGCTTCAAATCTTTTGGGAAGGCTCTGCACAAGATTTAGGAGTGTGTCTATTGGAATGTTTGACCATTCTTCCAGAAGATTTGTGAGGTTAGGTAATGATGTTGGAGGAGAAGGCCTGGCTCCCAGTCTCCGCTCTAATTCATCCCAAAGGTGTTCTATCGGGTTGAGGTCAGGACTCTGTGCAGGCCAGTCAAGTTCCTCCACCCCAAACTCACTCATCCATGTCTTTATGGACCTAGCTTTGTGCACTGGTGCGCAGTCATGTTGGAACAGGAAGGGGCCATCCCCAAACTGTTCCCTCAAAGTTGGGAGAATGAAATTGATCAAAACGTCTTGGAACTAAGGGACCAAGCCCAACCCCTGAAAAACAACCCCACACCATAATCCCCCCTCCACCAAAATTTACACTTGGCACAATGTAGTCAGGCAAGTACCGTTCTCCTGGCAACTGCCAAACCCAGACATGTCCATCGGATTGCCAGACAGAGAAGCATGATTCTCCACTCCAGAGAACACGTCTCCACTTCTCTAGAGCCCAGTGGCAGCGTGCTTTACACTACTGCATCCCTTTGCATTGCACTTGGTGATGTAAGGCTTGGATGCAGATGCTCGGCCATGGAAACCCATTTTGTGAAGCTCTCTATGCACTGTTGTTGTGCCAATCTGAAGGCCACACAAAGTTTGGAGGTCTGCAGCTATTGTGAGCTTCAGCATGCGCTGGCCACGCTCTGTCATTTTACATGGCCTACCACTGCGTGGCTGAGTTGCTGTTGTTCCCAGTTGCTTTCACTTTGTTATAATACCTCTAACAGTTGACCGTGGAATATTTAGTAGCAAGGAAATTTTACGAATGGACTTATTGCACAGGTAGCAACCTATCACGGTACCATGCTTGAATTCACTGAGCTCCTGAGAGCGACCCATTCTTCCACAAATGTTTGTAGAAGCAGTCTGCATGCCTAGGTGCTTGATTTTATACACCTGTGGGCGGCCACGGAGGTGATTGAAACACCTGAATCCAATGATTTGAAGGGGTGTCCCAATACTTTTGGCAATATAGTGTATATAGGTACTTACACTAGATGTATCTAAAAATACTTTCAACCATTTTAAAAGGAATACACAATTGCATTAAATGGTGTTTTTCTATATCTTACTAGAGTTTAGCTTTAGGTTTTCTACATGGCATTGAGAATAGAATATACAGATTTTCCACATAAACAGCTGTCGCTTTGGTGAAATTACAATGAGGCAATGTTATGTAGATAGTTTAGATGTAAATGATGCTTAGCGGAGGACAATTAAGTGGACTTTCTGACACCGATGTAGTAGCAATGTTTCCCAATAGCATTGATTCTACTTTCTATCTGCAAGTTGTTAAATTATTCCTGCACAGAAGGATCATTTGACACGGTAGACTGATTTATAATGTTCTGCCATATGTCATTACGGATCTAAAATGCCCCTGAAAACAACAGAAAATCCATGGTGAGCTAAGGGAAACATTACACAAAACAAATCCATGTTCCACTTCACTGACATCTCCTTACCGTTGGTTTTGTGATGGCTCAGATAACGTCCACGGTAAAACTTGCATGTTGAATTATCACCTTTACAAACCCCGCAGGCATCCAGAGCTGCTTTTGATCCAAGAACATAATCGCAGCCTACGAGCTGGCACCGGAATTACAGAAATGAAACATGCATTAGAGGAGTGTGACTGTCGGAAGGTATCACATCACAGGATGCTCATTCTGAGCCAAGTTGAAATTAAAATCCTCTTTCTCGCTTGTATGGTACATTCAGGAAGATGATATTTTACACTCGGGAGATAATAGAATTCAAATGCAACCAATTAATTAAGGACTCAGTTAAGAACTGTTCTAAGGTTAACATGAATTAGTGGTAATTGTTTTCTGATGGATTACAGCAGTTGCCGCCGGATAAACTTTACAGTGAACTTCTGTGGAAGTTATGACAAGGCTGAGGTACTTTTACACACAGTTGGCTTATTTGATGAGGGCAGCACAAAAAGCAATGGTGGCGGGCAAATTGCAGTAAGTCATAGCAACCAATCATTTCATTTTACTGTACTCAGATCTGGGAACGATGAATTATCGTTGGATAGTTACATCTTATTCTTTGTGTTCAGTTCAACAAAAACAGATATTTATTTTTTTGGCAGATTTAACCAAATGGCCCATTGGCTTTGTGTATCTTGCAGGGACTTAATGCTGGAATTCTTGGCTAGGTCCTCCTATGCCATAAGAAAAAAATGACTCTGTCTCACTGATACTTTCCATACTCTACAAGAATAAGTTTGTCTCCCATCAGTGGCGTTACAAGGGTGGTGCGGGGGGTGTGGCTCGCACCCGGGTAACAGTCATTTTGGTGTCATCCCCTCTAAAAAGTCAGGCACTTGGTCATGGACCTAGAGACCGACAGTGTCAGATGAGAGGAGGGGACTCGGCGGCATACCTCATCCTGCCGGGTGACCGTCCCTTCACCTCTCTGCCGGTGTCCACCACCAAGATGGCAGGCGTCAATTAGAGGGCCATGCATGCGCAATGACGTCATCACGCACGCGTGTGGTGACCTCACGCACATGCGCGATAACGTCACAGCAGGGTTTTACCTGGTCTCCGCTCCAGGTGACACACGGCCTCAGGACGCTCCTGTCTCCCATCATTCTCCGTACAATATTTTACTTCACCTCCCCACAGGAAATACCAATTGAAGTGCACCTTAACGTGAACATGCGCTTTTCTCATAAAGGACATAGTAACAGGTCCACCTTAATGCCACACCCTACAGCAACTGATATTTTGCTTCCCTTCTCTCCTCTGTTGCTTTGTTCACCCAGGGGAGTCAGGAGGAGAAGATCTGTGTAAGCTCCAAGTCACTACTAGAAGATCACAAAGGACTAAGGGTTCTCTCCCAGTGATAGTGCGAGGTGCCTGAGCAGCCAATCGCCAACCACCAGTACTGTCATGTGATAGAAAGGGGGGGTGTCATGTGCTCCCCCGTATCTGGTAGGGTTGGATATGGCTTCCTGGCTGAACAGAGCTGAAGGCTCTCTCCTCACTCCTACCCTACAGTGCTGGGTGCCTGAGCAGCCAATCACCAATCACCCGTACTGTCAAGTGATAGAAAGGGGAATGCATCATGTGGTCTGCCATATCCAGCAGGACTGGATATAGCACTTCGCCTTCCTGGTTGAATAGAGCAGTGGGAGAGTTATGGCAATAAAACCATAAGTGTCTGTGGAGATCTACATTAAAGTGGATATGTTGTATTGCCCTGAATGGTCAAAGCACTGGGTCACTTTGAAGTTAAAGAAGAATCTCCAGGAAAAAATTGTATTAACCCTTGGGGCTCATTTTTGTCTAGGTTCAAAAATAACAAAGATATACTCATCCGAAGCTCCAAGTTGGCCACCTGTCACATTGCTCTCTCCAGCCTCACTTCTCCTGCTGCAGCACTGTACAGTTTATAAAATATGATGATTTATGGCACCTTAGACTGCTGCAGAGGAGAGGGAGAGAGCCTAGAAGAACTGGTCTAAGAACAAGGCAGCTCCGCGGTTCCGGTGAGTATAACTTTTTTTTCCTCCCTATACCAAAACATGGAGTTGCAGTGGTGGTAGCCCCACTGCAAGGGTTAATTTTAAAAAAATCCCAGGAGCTCTTCTTTAACCTGTGTTCCATTTCAAACATTTCAATAGGTGTTATCAAAGGTATATACAGTAATCTCTCCATTATCCGGCATTCAGGCAACCAGAACTCTTCAGAAACCAGAAAAAAATTGAGGACATGATATGTCCTCAATTATTTTTGCCAGTTGCTTGATAGACATGTGCACATTAAACAATTTTCTTAGTAATTAAATGTATTCAGTTGCTAATGAAATTCTCTGATTACATTTTGCTGCGGCTGATGGTTAGATTCCGCAGCTGGCAGGTGACTGTAAACAACGGGCAGTGAGCGTGTGCAATAGCCAGCCTGCTATCGGCTTTGGCTTTGGCAATCTGAAATAGCCAGTAGCAGCATCTAGCCAGCAGATGAATGGGGGGGGAGGGGGTTGTTGCTTAAGAGTTCATAGTAACTCTCAAGCAAACAGAAACTACAGTTATCTGGATTCTATCAATCCCTATGGGTGCCGGATAATTTGGGATGGCATATCAATCATTTAAAGTGTATGTGTATCCCAAATGTCTTTTTTTTAGTTTTGGATAGAAAGCAGAAACCTTAGACCCCCTGTCAGATTTTACTGCAACCCATGGCTTTGTTATTAAGATTTCCCCTGACTTTCTGTTGTGGGGAGAACCTTTTACCAGCCAGGAAGTGGGAGAAAATCTGCAACAAGGAAACAGACAACAATAAAAAGCTGACAGATTTTCTAGAATTTCCCGACTCAAGCAATTTTACTTTTGTCTGTAGTCCTTCCTGTCCTTAGGACAACATTTTCAACAGACAGGATGTGAACAAATCTCTCCGGCAGTAAATCTTGACAAGGGTTCTAATCCTTCCCCATTCTTTCCAAAACTAAAAAAAAAAGTTTGGCTATAGATACACTTTAAGAGTAAAACAATGCACATATACATACACCGCTCTTGGGTCTGTACACCTGCTGTGGCCATTTTGATGGTTTTCCCCTTTGGATTTATCATGGGGCATGTAACAGGAGTGGCTGGAAGACAAAGGTGGGCAGAAACACAACAAAACTGCCAGGTGGACAGAAACAGATTCCAGATATATGGAAGGGAGGTCTTCCAGTTGGCATTTCAACATATCAGACATATAGAACTTGGCTCAGCCCACTTGGCTCTACCTATAACTAAAATATAAATTTTGGCCTGAGCTGGTCCCTCAGCATGTTTGATGTCATGTTAATATTAATCACAACTGTTCTTACCTCACAGCTGCCATCGATGCACACATTGTATCCACTAGCAGAGCACGGTGTTCCATCCTTTACTTTGTTAGACAGTGCAAAGAAAAAATCAAAATCCTCCGCCGTACAGTATAACTTGCAGATATTCTCCTCTGGAACACAAACATGATAATCAAGACATGACTAATGGCTAAACATGGTAAATGAGAATTGATCTAAACAAGAAGCAGGTAGTGACTATATATATGTATATATAGCGCCCCCCAGAGGTCTGAGGCAGACCCCCGAAGGGCAGAGGGGGCTGACATTTCACTCTCAGGGGCAGATCCTTAGCCAGTGACGGGACATGTGATCAAGAAGTTGGGCGCCAGTCACTTTAAGTGCCTTTTTTTAATGCTTTATTGTAGAACATCAACTTGGAGAGAGGGTATAGGGCTTAGGACATCCATGGCAAAATAGAACCGACTCACCAATTCCCTTCCAGTCTTCCACAGTGCAGAATCTGCTATCAGCGGACAGGCCAGTAAAGAGCAACAGCTGAACAGTGATAGGCATAAGATCTTCCATAGGAGAGACACTAGACTTGCTCCTGAGGTTCATACCAGCACCAGGCACCCTTAGTAGCCTTTCAGCTTCTCTGGTTCTCTTCGTCAATCAGTTCCTGACTCCTTCGGGGGCCACATATGTGGCCTCCTCCAGGCTTGAGGCCTAGACAGTATTTCCCTCTCTGAGCATCCCAACCCCAGGCTAAGTCCGGGGGCGGACTGGAACTGAACACAAGGCCATTTTTAGATTGTAAGCCCTCAGGGGCAGAGCGCTCCTTAACATCTTGTCTTGAATTGTATTGTGAGTGTAATGTCTTCCTTATATTCTAAAGCGCTGCACAAACTTTTGGCGCTATATAAATCCTGTATATTAATAATAATTCCCTTGAGTATTTATGCACTCCCCCCAGCATGCACTACTAGCTAAGAAACTTCCTGTGATTGGCTGGTGAGACATGGACACTCACAATGCTACCCCATTGGCTGCCCCACACTGCAGCAGGGTCACATCCACTCAGGCAGGTATAATCAATGACAGAACACCAGGAATTAACCATATAGTAACCAAATACAATTCAGCCAGACTGATTACAGTACCAGCACAGCTAACTTTCTAGTAGCCACTCCACAGAAGGGGCTACATACTAATATATGATTTTATGCAGGGGGTTATCTATTGATTAACCCTTTTGTTCCTGTCAACTAGGGGTAATTGGATCTAAACCCAATTGTCAGCTCTGCCATGGATATGGCCAGGAAACGTATATATACAATATATATATATATATATAGTAAATAAACTAAGAATGTAACAATATGTAACAATATATAACAAGAATGTAACAATATATATATATATATAGTAAATAAACTAAGAATGTTATAAAATGTTGCATTCCAACACGTGGTCCTCCAAGCCAAGAAGTATCTGGTATTTTCTTTACTACCATCGCCTAAGATATGGGAATAACCAACTGACCAGATTGCTCTAAATACAATAATTCCAAGCTCTGATGAAGGGGGATTTCTGAGTGACCCTGGAAACTCATTGTCTGTCAACTCTTGATAGACCTTATTATTATGACACATAAAAACTAATATCCCTGTGGCTTGGCACTTCTCCATACAGAGGGTCTAATGTCCCCCATTCAATATAAAATGTAAAAAGGTGTTGTCTTTGCATACACTTTAGTATAAAAATTGGAATTAAGAGTGTGATTTTGAGGTTGATGTGCACAAAAATTCACCAACTGACAGACTGTTAGTATGTATGGAATTTTTTGTTCTTCAAATACATGATTTACACCTGAAGTTGACAACAGAGAATGTTGTGCCTGAATGAGCATTCCAGAATTAACTCAAGACAGCTGCATAGAGACAACATGGCTTCAAGTATTAATGCCACCACATCCATCTGGCTATCTGAGCAGCATATAATGGCATTATGGGACAAGCCACATCATGATGAACAATATTTGCAAACGTTGATAATCTCACTCACTGCATCAAATCAGTCAAATACATAATGAAAGGTGGAACAGTGCCTGAAATAATTAAAACAACTTATATTCTGTCACTGGATATTTCCTAGATAAAATAGCAGAGGTTTAAGGTCATTGTATTCCATATCCTTCTCACCTTCCACTTTAGTGTAGGGTTTCCACTTGTAATACCATCCTCTGAATGGTTTGCTGTTGTACTCTGCGCACTGCTGGGCACGGAAGTCCGGAGTGTTGGAAGGACATGTCTGGGCATTGCAAATCTGGTAAATACGGCTGGAGCCCTGGCAATACTTCCCTCCGTACTGAGGTCTAAAAAGCAGGAACAGCAAAAAATGGGTATTAACAGTTAGGAAGTGCTAGACATGTTTTATTAAAGTAAACCAAACACATAGGTTTCAGTTATGCAAAAGGACTTATATCCATACATTTACAGTACACATAAATCAGAACACACAGAAGAGGCTTGTGAACAAAATGACTTGAACTAAGTATACATAAAACACTTTTCCTTGTCCTGGAGAAGAAGAGGTTTAACCACCACATACAGTAAGGGTCTGTTACAGTAAAAAGCTGCAAAAATGTGGAAAGGAGTTCCATAGGAGTTAGTTGTAGCCAACTCAAATGGATCACTTCAAAAGAGGGCTGGATGTGTTTCTAAATATAAAAAAAATAGAGCTGGTTATTTATATGTATAGGAAATAACACTGTATGTTGTTGTCTGATTGCCCTTGGGGGCGAGGAAGGATTTTTTCTCTGTTACAGTGATCTACACCCTTTAAAAGGTTTTTTTTTTGCCTTCTCGTTGATCAGTTTTGGATGCAAGATTTTTTTCAACGTTTGACCTGTGGTTAAACACAATGGACATGTATCTTTTTCATGTAACAATGCCACATGCCATCACTGGTATAGCTACCGTAGGTGCAGAGTATACAGCCATCACATTGGGCAAGGGCGGATTGGTCAAGGTTATAGCGCTCCCAGAACCTGCTGTAAGAAACAAGTGGACTCTTGTATGTGCTGAGGCTTCTAAAGACCCCTTTGGATCATTAAAGGCAAGTCAGGTCAAATATGGGGTTGTATAAGCCACAGCTGTGACCAGGCCATGCTCCATCCTGCCACCTTTTGAGTCTTTGGCTAGCACCAATGATTCTACTTCTACTCTACTACTCTGGCAATCAAGCAAAAATAGTTGCTTATCCTTTCACATTATGGTGTCCATTTAATAACCTGTGATAATGCCTGTACTATCATTATTTGTCTTTTCTCCACTATGTGAAATCATATCACTTCTGGTACAGGATTGAGCAGCCTGCATAAGATTTACTCAGGTCCCGGCCTCAGTTCAACCACTTGAACTCTTAGACCTGTATACCCCTAAGGACCACAGTATTTTTTACACTGCGGGTTACGGGCCTGTTTATTTGGCATTACTTAAGATAACAAAGTAACATATATATAATTTTATTAGGACAAACAAAGCTTTCTTTTGGTGATATTTTCTTGCAAAAATGAATTATTCTCTATGCATTCCATAGGCAAAAACGAGTAACAAAACAAAAAAAGCCCTTTTGTTCTATTTGATCTTTTTTTTTTTTTAAATAGCGATATTGTAGAAAAAAGTATATATTTTATGTTATAATTTGTCCCATTTAATATGACACTATAATTATGGTTCTGGTACAAAACATTGCAAAGTAATTTACAAAAAAAATAAAGGTTTTTATTCAATTTTGCACTTTTTTTTTTTAACGGTGGCACTAAAAAAAAATGAACAAACAAATTGGATAAAAACGTGGTTAGAAAAATAGAAATAAACCAGTTAAAAGCGCCACAGGGGTACATTTACTAACACTAAAATATTAATGACATTTACCACTAAAGAGATAAATTGGGGTCTTACACTGGGTTGTTGCAGAACCGTTCTTGATACATCACTCCACCACCACAGGTTCTTGAGCATTCCGACCAGTCCGTCCAATCAGACCACCCTCCATTGACTGATCTCGGTCCAAGGTCTCCAAATCTGACACACTGCCCTCTTCGACACCACTGTTTAAACACAAGGACAGGCCCATAGTTTAGTATGCTCTTTTTCTATCAATATTGTGTAGGTGTTTATTAAGGTGGCTGTACAAAACTCAGTTTGTGCAAACAATGTGCCCAATTTGAACGTTGCTGACACAGTCAGGGGGGTATTGGACCCCACAGAAGTTCCCTTGACCAGAGAAAACAAGCCCCTTTGACTGTTGGTGGGGGTTGTTTTTGCATGAATGAAGTTTCTAGTTTGTTGGAAAATACATGTATGTGTAAGGGGGCACTGACAGGCTGTTTTTTTTTCAGTGGCAAGGGGGGGACCATCACTATGCCAGGAACACAGGAACACCAACTGGATTCTTATTTTTCGTAAAATAAACCTCTTGGGGGGGGGGGAAGACCTGCAGTCAATTCGCTAACTGGAAGTCAACAATGAATGACAGAACATCCTTATTCTGTCATCATTCTTCTTCTTTATTACCCTATTAATGGGTAATACAACACATATGCAGTGTTGTAAGAGCTGTATGTAACCTCCAAGGCTCCAAGTCATGTATGCACGTATAGCTGTTACTTTACACAGAACAAAATGTAGTCGATGAATTATGTGTCTCGATGACAGTATAGAGCTTTATGTCTATTCCACAGATACCGTACTACTTTTATATGAAATAACATTTCCACTCAAAATGAACACTTAAGTTTTATGTGGATGCTGACAGGTTGACACGTGCTGGTTTCATCTTTCTCTCAAAGGAGTCAGATGAGATGGCCCGCCAGAATTCCTTCTTCCACCAAACTGTCACAGCCAATAAAGAGCCAGATTATGCTGCTTCTACAGTGAATCCTCCTTAAAGAAACATTCCAACGAGATAGGATTTCCACGGCAGTATTAGACAAGGGGAACTCCTAGTCTGAATACTTGTGATACTAAGGCCAGATTCTGATTACATTATCACAACACACAGCAATGCACAAAACATGCTGCAATGGCATACATTTTTAAAGGCTTAACCTACCTTTTAGACCATGTTTTATATTACTCCCATATTTAGGGTATAACATGAAACATGGTCAAGCTCCCCAGTTTTCAAACCCTCCATACTGTATTGTAGGATTATTTTCCTCGCAGCATCTTGTCTATATTTGAACTTGGAGTCTGCTACATCGGGAGTGGGATCTCAATGGACTACAAGTTTGGTTACTTGTAGTGCACCAATATTTTCCTACAGCTCTCTTAGGTTATGGGGCTAGAGGCTAGAGGAAGTTACCAATACCAATGTTACAAATGAGTCCTTCTGCCATGGAGACAGATGCGACTTGTATTTTCGTTGTAGTATTTTCACACTAAACAACATTGATGGAAGAATCTCCACTGTTGGTGCTATTGTATTAAGACAACCGCGGCCCCTGTGGCTGAGTGAATACAGGAACACTGACTGCATCTGACTGGATGCTGTTGCTCTTCAGCCAATCATTTTTCACTCGGTTCGGTCAATTTATAAATTGACTTTTGTCAAACCAGGTGTTACTGTAGGGCTGTCTATAGCCAAGCTTAAGGCACACAACTGCCTTAAATGAATGTTCTCAAGTGGAATCTATAATTGTTCTTACTCAAAGTACACATCTCCCCTGCATCCAAAAATATGCTTTTAATACAAACCGCAATTGCCATCTAATAATGGTGTTCCAATGGCGTTCCTCGGGCTGGCAGCCCCCAAATATTTTATATACATAATGTATGTCTGTTACAGTATATAAGGCAATTTGAAGTAGCCCGGGCAGATTTTACATGTTTCCACATTCCTTGCCATGGCATCACACTAATAAAGTCCAGTTAGCAATTTATGCCACAATTAACCTGACCCTTTTAGTGATTTTATGTGTGCACGCTTTTTTTTTTCAGATTTACAGAAGACGGGCATTCCTACACAGCTATAAGAGTAGAAAATCAGACTCAGTATTAACAGTACTATAATTACTTGCTGTTTGCAGATTTCAAGTACATTTATTTATTATGCAAAATCACTAATAAAACCACAAACAAAATAAATTTTGAAATACATATCTGTATGATCTCACCAAATTCAGGCCACAGACAGTGCCCTCTGCTGCCGGCATGAATTTCGTCTCACATCTGTGGCCGGATTTTTGACACCAGAGAGATTTGCAAATGTCCTGCAAAAACACAGTGCAAAGTCAATTCTGCGGAATGGCCAATGGCACAGAGAAGAGAGTACCTAAAAAACTATCTATAAACGTTGTAAGGGCTCTATTTGTATCAATGTTTTTAATAACCTCAATAAAACTACGTTTGCTAAAAAAAAAAAAAAAAAGTTGTAAGCGAATTCTTTTGTAAAATAGTTATCAAATAAGTCCATTCAAAAATCATCTTCTAATTGTTTTCTAGCTGCTTGTCCAATAATGTTGTCAGCTACAGTCTATTAAAGGTACACCCCAGACAAAATGAAAAAGTAAAGCAAACCTATGGCCAGCCCATGCAGAATAAAGCAACAAGTCACTTTAAAGTGACACTAAACTTAGGAGTTAATCTTAAAAATACATTCAAGTACCTCAACTATTAACTAAAATGTAACTTATTTGTGTATCACTCAGCTGTAGATCCTCAAATCATCTCTGAATTGGTGCTGACACTGTCCTTCCTTCTGGAGCGTGGCTACTTTTGTTCCCCGTAGTCCCTGTGTGTGTTGTAAAGTAGCCACCACTCCAAATTGCTCCAGTGATGGACTATAATTTTAATACAACTTAGTGAACTAAACGTGAGATTGTAGTCCATCACGGGAGCGAGCACGAATTCAGAGATGAACTGAGGAACTACAGCCGAGTGATATGCAAATAAGCTACAATTATGTTTAATAGTCCTCTGCCCTTTAAAGGCTCTGACAAGAGCAACCTAGAGCTTACACAAGACAGATAACGCTCTACCCACCCCAATGTGACAGCTCTGGTGGTGAAGGAAATGGCATATGTTTTGATGGGTAGGAAGCATTAAAACAGACCTGCATCTAAATGGCCAAAGCACATATTTGCTTTGAATACTAATATTCAGGGAGCCCACCTGTTTAGTTTTTTTATATTCAGACATTGATGTGAACCATCTTACCCCATGACCTTACTGCCTTTCAACATTCTGGCAATGTGAGAACCCCTGTTTTTAATGCAGAAGAATTCTCAAACACACCCACTGCAGGCTATTAGATGTCTCTTCCTCATGTAAAAAAAATGGCAGTATTAAGTAAGCTTCCCTGGCACCAAAGTAAAACCTGCATTGAAAGTTTACATTTGACTGGTAACACAGGAAGCTGAGTAAGAGGAAATTACTAGGGGTGCACCGATACCATTTTTTCAGTATCCAGTAGGAGTACCGTAATAAAAAATTTTCGGTACTCACCGATACCGAATGCTGATACCGGAAGTCCCATTAAGGAAGCCGGGTGACGTGTAATGACTAACCTCCCGGCTTTCTGATTAGCCGGGAAGCCAGCTCCATGCTCCTTCGTCACCAGGTGATGAGGAAGCATTGGAGCCAGTTTTCTGGTCAATCAGGAAGCTGGGAGGCAGGTAATGACTCGCTGCCCAGCTTCCTGATTGGACAGCTTCCCTTGGTGCATCCCTAGAAATTACAGAGCACCAATTTAAGAAAGTAAATTTCCAGTGAGATAAATGAGGTCTGAGGCTTACACAGAGCTCAGATTAAAGGAAGCTGCATGGGTTTTCTAATTTTAGTACATCTTTAGTGTTTGCTCGATAAAACCATCACCGTAATGATTGCTCCCACTTATTGCCTGGAATTTCCTTTGAAAGTGTCAGTCTGCCTAATACAGACATTTCTGTATTGAGCAGATGCTGACAGGTTGAACAGCCAACCATTTCCTGTATGCCTTAGTGACATCTGCAGGAGGATTCCTTGCATATTGCATATTTACAGCCCCTTTTTTTTTAAAGAAGCCCCGACCCTCAACATAATTACATTTTATGTCATTTTTAATAATTCTTGCATATTACAAACCTCAGAAGACAGCACATACCTTCACGAAGCTGCACTGCTTTGCCTTTGGTCCAAACTGCCATTTACACTGAGTGTCAGCATCATAGGTCTGTCCAGGCAGCTTCTCGGGATATTGAAAGTGTCCTAATTGTTTTGGCTCATCAATGAGACAGGAGGATTGAGCTGTGCTGTGATAGAACTCAGTGTGAATCATTCTCATTGACAACTGGCTTACATACAGCAAAGGCATGCTTTATCATTATTATACTTTTTGGAGGAGGAGGTGACATTTTTATTAAATAATATTTTATATCTTTTGATAATTGGTTTTAATACTTTTTTTTTACAAGCATTTAATAAAGGTTGCAATCATGCCACTGAAAATTACACTTGGCTTTTCATCAAAGAAGCCCAGCATTATATGTAAGCTTTTTGGGAGTGTGTAGAACTGGCTTAGCCAGATGGTGTGCCCTGCTAAGAAAGAAGAAGGGGTATGTCCCTCCCCTATGTCCTGTCATTCAGCTGCAATCTTTAATAACTGTTTGCTATTTAGGTCTATTTTACAGCAACGGCAGAGTTTTGAGTCTATAGAAAATTGCTGATCTGCATGGAGCACACCTCCTTTTGAATGCAAATAGTATAAAAGGAAATGAACAATATTTACAGCAATATTATATTTTAAATATAAAACAATAAATATAGCAATATTTTATTTTACCTGAGTGAAAAATAAATATAAAATAAATATTTGTTGTATATCTTGAGCCATGTACGGTGTTATATTTTACCTTTATTTATATTTGTGGTGATTTAAAATTATTGCTTTATTCATATAAAGGGTATGAAACTGCAATGCCTTATTAAGAAAAAATAACCATGCATCAGTGAACATCCGACTAGGAAGATGAAGTGCTCTCATAGATATTCTATCATTTTAACTAATAAAAGTAATACAAAAGTAAAGGGAATACTATACATTTCTCCAATGCCTATAAGAACACCAGCAGTGAATGTGTTCCAATCTATTTTTTTTTTTCATACACTAGAAAAAATATTTTTCTATTTTTATCAGGTGCAGAGATCTCGTAAGAAGTAAGAAGTGTAATCAAATCTTTTGGATTTACCAAAAATTTAATTTATGTCAGTCTGACCCTGTAAATGCAACAAAAGATGCAATATGTTACTTGAAGAACACATAGGGCAGGAGGGGTCAGGGGGAATGTTTCAGGTTCATGACTGCAGTCTGTTACAAACACACACAGTCCAGTTGCCCGCAATGTTTCAACACGCTCAGAAATGTGTAACCAAGTCATTAACAGGAAACAGAAGCAGAGACAAAGGTGTTGGTTAACAGCAACACCTGGAGACTGAAACTAAAAGGTCAGTTTTGGAAATGTTACAGCTTTGGAAAACAAGAGGAACATCTGGTTCTCTCTAATACGAAGGGTAACGTAATGCTGGCTTGGGTCTTGTTAGACAGAAGCGACACTTATAAGAGCCAATAAACCTGCCAGTAAAAGTCCTGAAAGGATTCTTGGAAGCAATATTATCATGCAGAAGGAGAAAGCAGCAGAATAATTACATTCCAGGATTGTACTGTTGACAGGACATTTCTGATGGCAGATGTACACCTTGGCTCTCACCTGAGAAATTCTTTCAGATATTGTCTGCTACAGGCTGACCAGGAAAACACCCCATTGTTTCCAGTTAAGGTGGGAGACATGATGTTCCCTTCAGTCTTCCTGCAAGGATTCCCTTCTCCGTCATGGACCATTCCAAAGCTGTCACAAGAGTATATGTTTAATTGTTTTGAGTATGTTACAATAAGAGAAATCTAAGCCAAATGATTAGCTTGACCCAAATCCTTCAGTCTTAGGTGAGGAAGGGGGGAGTGGGCTAAATATTGGCTTATGTTTTCCAGGGATAATAGAAATATGATCTCTTAAACCTAGTTCCAGTAATTAAAAAAAAAGGAGGGATAACTTTCACCACCAGATATTTCCCATTTCCCAAAAGAGAAGGGAACAACCTTATAATGCAGTGTATGTCTTCCCTGGGAGGCCATACTGAGATGAAACGGTGGATGCTGCAGTCTCATCTAGAGAAGCCAATCCTTCACCATCCATTGGTCTCCCTGACAGAACAACCACTCTCAAGCCAACAGAACAGTATCCTAATAAATGAAAGTGCATTTGTAGATTAATGTTGCAGTTTATCTGCAGTTTGAGATCATCTAAGGCACTAAAGCCTCTGACTGCCTGCAGTCTCATCTAGAAAAGCAGTCTCACTGCAGTTTCATCTAGAGAAGCCAATCCGTCACCATCAATTAGTCTCCCTGACATATAAACCACTCTCAACACACAGACAATTCTCCTATTAAAAAGTGCATTGGTAGACTAATGGTTGATTATCTGCAGTGTGAGATCATCTAAAACTCTAATGCCTCCGACTGATGGTCTCTCAAGATTTGGAGTATGATTTGTAGATGTCACTATTGTGTTGCTTATTGTTCTTCCCGCTGGAGAGGAAGCTGTACCTAAGCTGCACAGATCTCCCTGCTTTTACTTTATTCCTTCTGTGGATCTGTGCTTTCCCCACCTTCCCTGCTGCTTCTTGATCATTACTCTACCAGTCATAAGACCACCAGGCATCAGGTGGGGGCAGCTCTGACATAAGGAAGCAAAGCCCTGCCTTAACCAGGATGGCCAACTCCACACAAAGACAAAGTGCAGAACAAGGCATGGTACACCAGTAATGGTGAAATCAGCAACTGCAGGTAGCCTACAAGCAAAACTGGCAATTAATCCTTTACCCTCTGCTTGCCTTTTTGGGAACTTCTTCTACAGTACATGTCCTTTTTCAGATTTGAAAAATTAACTTTGGATTGAAGTTCAAGTGTTGATTCATGTACAGGCCTTCAATATCACTTGATAAGTGATAGAGTAACAAAGATCCACCACCCAATCATGACCACACCAACGTTTCACCTTGGTTTAATGCAATATAAAAAAAAAATATATGCAGCATCCAGGACAAAGCTGATTTTTTGTATTAGCCTTAAGGGGTTAGATGGGAACCTCACCACCACTAGAGTACCCAAGAGATACAGGCATCCAGTGATGTATTCCCAAGTTTATTATCAACCACTCTAATCTGTTAGAAGTATTACCCTTTATTATCTCCAGAGATTACATTTACTTACTTGTGACCTGATTCATGGGCGATAGTAAAAGCCAAACCAAGACCGGTGTCTTCATTTATGGTGCAACTGCGGTGTTTGCTACACATGCCATTTATTGGTGCAAAACCTAAAGATTAAAAAAAAAAAAAATCCCAGTGATTAATATAAAATCATCCTGATCTATGTGATTTTATTGGACTTATTAATAGTAATGATGTGAATAGCCATAGTTGCCCTCCTAACTGAACATCAAACAGGTCTGCTGTGTTCATCTCCATTATATGCGGGGTGGTGAGATTGGGAAGTGACAAGGACACGACAATTCTGGCAAGATCAAAATGTATTTTCTGTACTTGCTGAACATGTTCTTAGCCTGAAAATGTTAAAGTAATGCAGCCACCACATTTAAGGACTGGTAAGGTGCAATATTTCACATATGTGTTCTTGGCTCTAGTTATCCTAAATTCTACCTATTATATCCTAAACTCAACTGCTCCTTCTTCTAAAACCATATCCTGATTTTTAAACATATCCCCTTTCTCCCCTTTGTTTATTGGCATGTATATGTGCATTGTAAAGTATTTACCTAAGGTGTCACAAGGCTCATTTTTCCATGAGCAAATGTCCAGTCCTGTTAGCAGGATGGCATGATCGTGTCTTTTTCCATTCTTACCCACATGGGTTGACTGCCACTGACAGAAATTATTCAAGGATTGATCAGCATGATGAGTGATCTTAAGCCCAGACTGTGAAACAAAAAAGGAAAACATAATTAGATATGTAACTATCAAAACTAATACCAAACACTGAATTCACAAATATTGGCAAAGGTTAGTGAATACCTGACCATCACACCTACACTATGTCCACACTATACCCACAAATATGTAGCCACCCATCATATTATTCAGTTCAGGTGTTTTCAGTTGTTGATACAGTAACTGCTACATAATACAAATACATTTTAGACAATTGTGCTTGTCCAACCTTGTGGCAATGGTTTGGGGAAGGCACTTTGTTAGCATGACTGTACCCTTGTGTACAAAACTAGCTCCATAAAGACAAAGTTTGCCACTACAGGACTCATTAGTGATGTAGGTGCCAAAGAATGGAACCACAGTGCACGGTAGGGAACATAGGCATCCAACAATCTTGGAAGTCTTGAATGCTGAAGAGACTTACGGAGGCTGCAAATAGAACAATGGTAGGATAAGATGCTTTCTTTTGCAAGAAACTCACCTTCAGTTTTTTTAGGCAACTGACAGGGTCACTTTAAGACAATGCAGCTTGGTTAGGGACAAACTCTGTTTATATTGTATAGGATCAGCAACTCTTTCATAGGTCATCACTTTTCTCTTTCCACTGCTGTCCTTTCCTCTCCTTTATTCTTCTTTCTTCCAATTCTCTTGAAAGGGGCTCCTGATATACATCTGCTTGCTTTAAGACAGTTTTGATTTACTAATGGCAAATAGGCTGTTCACTTTTCAAGGGGATTTTCCTTTAGGCTAGTGAATGTGGTGACAATTCACTTTGCAAATTATACCCCATCATATGCATGGGAAAAAATCTGCAGAGTTTCATCTCATTCTTTAAGCTCAGAGGAGATTCCCTTAAAAATTGAAAATTCCCTTGTAAAGTGATCAGCCTATTCACCTTTAGTAAATCAAACCTCAGTGGTTCAGGAAGGATAAAGATTACAGCCTAGATACCTGCCCTTTAAACAGGACAGTAATGGCAATTCCCATATTTCCATCCTGCCAGGCTCCTTGTAAGTCTGCCTTAGCACAAAACCTCTTAGATACACCTCTGTAGAAGGTCCAAAAATCAGTTGTTAAGGAGTATTGTGGTCTATTATGATCCTAGTAACTACAGATGAATGATTGATTCTATTGCACGTTTGGATCCCAATCATTCACCACAATACAAGAAATATTAAAACAAGACACCATTTTTTAAAGACATTGAACATCCTCTTAAACAGTTTATATAAACATGTAATATAATCATTTGGTGTCTACTTGCTTTCTGTGCCTGTACAGGTCAATTGTCTAAAAAAAATAAGGATTAAAGGAGCAATCCACCTAAAAGTTTTATTTTAGCTATCAGTGGAATCTGATGGACTGTAGCCATCCATGGATTTTTATGTCTTGGATATTCCAACAGTGAGATTTTCCTGCCAGAATTCCTAGCTCTGTTCCTAACCAACTGGGAGTACTGAGCGTTCCCACCCAATGTTGTGCCTTCCAGCTTCTCCTGTTGCATTCTCTATAACATAAGCAAAAAACAATTTAAGAGAGTGTGGGACCTGTCATAATGACCACATGTGTGCAGACCTGGAAACTCAAGCATAGGTGATTCTTCAGCATCTATCAAAAATAACATATCGTTATCAGAAGGATTGAGCTTTTTTTTTGGGTGGGGGGTAAGCAACATTCCCTCAAATTTAAAGTGCATCTGTCAACCAAATGACTCTCAGAAGAGAATCAATACAGAATTAACTGGACTGTGGGATAATTGGCATGGTAGTCTTAACAAGTGCAAAATGTGGTTACTATGTGATGTAGAAGCCTTAAAAAGTAAACAGAAAACTTAATTTACCTCCAATGACTGAGCCAAATTATCTTTCATTTGTGTTTCACATGCTCCCCTTTTCAGACACTTCAGCTCACAGTAGGAGGGTTTCAGCAACAGAGGCCATGCTTTCAATCCAGAAAGCAGTGAGCAGCCACAGGCTTGCGAATCAGCTCATGATAGCGACGTTCCCCTGCAGCATATATTGAATACCGATGTAGTGTAAGTAGGCACAGATTACATGAGAGTGGCAACTCTGCTCTGGATTCAGAAGCAGTGCAGCATCATTGCAACACCATTGCAGGAATCTACATGAGGAGACTTCACTGGCACGATCAATAGGTATTTGTAGGATTTTGCAGGGGGACTAAGAGAAAAGTACAAGTGCAGATACAATTATAAATAAGTGCTGCAGCACATATATTTTTGATGGGAGGCTACAGTTCTACCTTATTTAATTAATTAAATAGGGACTATTGCGGTCACAATGGCAGTAAATAGTGACATATACATCCATATCAATGGATGTATATCCTGCCATAGTAAACCCTCCTGCTGTGAGCTGCAGTGTCTGGGAAGGGGAGCATGTGAAACACAAATGAAAGTGGATTTGGCTCAGTCATTGGAGCCATGGTAAACAAATCAACACTCTGCACTTAGAATGATAAATGTAAAGTCACTCACAAAGCCAATGGTCCAGTGTACTTCTATAATTAGTTCTACTGTAATTCTCCATGGAAACTTTAAAGCATTACCCTTTTTTTGCTGGTTTACATAGTAATCCTGGGAGATTAGGTTTGGGAATATCGCAATTATGTCAGTGATGTTGACATGATACTGACCCAGACCTAATCCAACACTACTATGGTGGCCAGCAGAAAATGGCAGGGCTTTAAAGAATTATAGTCCATTTGTGTTGTGCTGACATACACTATTCCAGACTAAAGTGACTCAGCTACAGGTATAGGTATAAGTAGAACAGTTGTTACTTACTGGTTCATCTTCCAAAAGCAAAAGACTCACAACAACGATGTTTATATCACTTCCAATTGTTCCATCCTTAAAAAGAGTGGAAACCTGTAAGGAGATACAAAGTATTTCCATTAGCAAAACTATATTGCAATAGTAGGAACCTTCTTTGTAGCAGTCTTATAAATCCATTGGCACTAATACACTTGACGACCTTGAAGATTCACTCATTTGCAGAGAAAGTAAAAAAAAAAAAAAAAAAATAGAAATGTCCCGTGCACATGATTGAATGATTTAAGTGAATTTATTTTCATTGAGCTAAGTGAATAAAATGTACCCCTTTAGTAAATCAGCATGTAGGGTGGAGACTGACACCTGCTGGTCAAAAGTGATAATGCAAAAATATTTTTGCAACTTTCTGTTTAAATCTTGAATTCCTGCCCCCCAGTATAACGCCACTCCACAAAAAATGGTATTTGTGCAGAACAGACTTGTTTGCCAAATATAATGACCAACATTTTATTGGGTATTTGAAGTGATCTTAGTAAATTAGCCCCATGGACCAGACAGGCAGGGTATACAACTATTTTGCCTGGCTATGTTTGGCATCAGCATAATCACAGTTACAGATCTGGAGCCAGTATGCAGCAAATTAGTCAAGAGTGGAGTCAGAACTCTTGATCTACATATGTGTCCAAGTCTGTGACTCAGGAAGTATGGCGTTATTGGATAAGCATGAGTGCCAGCCAACTAACGTATTCAGAGGGATGAAACGGCAATGGTAGCCTTTGACACCTACCATTTGACATGTTGGTGGGCCTTTGACATGCTGGTGGGCCTTTGACATGTTGGTGGGCCTACGTATTTCTACATCCTGGATATAACAGATTATGACCTGGCATGCAACCTCAATTAACTGATAAGCCTTCAAAGTATGGGATAAACAGATAGTACCTTACCATGTTCATCACAGTGAGTATGTACGTGGTGAGACTTTCTTTGCCATGTTTTTCCACCATTTTCTTATCAGCCACCACAAGGGTCTCAACAACCAAACTGTTGGACTGCTGGAATTTTGCAGCAGAACGTTTTGACCTTGGTGGATGAGAATATTCATCTGGTCTTACATGGGAACCTTTTAAAGTATAAACAGATGAATCTATAATTAAAAATCCAACATTTCCTTTAAGTATAATATACTTTGTAAAGTTACATTCACTTATGTAGGATAAGGAAAAAAGAAGAAAACAGGGTTCATATGCAGTACAGTTGGGTGCAGGTTCTATCCATAGAGTGTAAAGTCACTGCACTGCCAATAGTATCCATACATGTCTTTAAATGTAGACTTTGGGGGAAGGTGCTTCTTAAAGCTTAACCCCAGCCAAACTTTCTTTTTTTGACAGAGTGGTTGTATTATTTCTGGTCTGTATCTCCTTTGGGAAGATTTTCCCTCACTGCCTGTCGGAACAGGAAGTGATGGTAAATCTTTCAAGTCAGGACACAAACTATAACAAAACATTTTTTTTCAGTACTACTGAGGAAACTTCTTAGTACTCTTAGTATATAAACGTGGCAAATAAAAAAAGCTCCTGAAAATTAGCCCTGAAAATGTACTCCTCTCTACCCTAGCAATTTCCTATGTTCTCTGTACACTGTGTGGCAAATGTGCCATGCAGTATACACTCTCAGCTCATTTACAGGATTTCTAAGATGTCATGAATGAGCCTGATGCCAGGGAGGCTGTAACTCCTGTGAGCATGCACCATATTAGATCAATTATGTCAGTAAAAGCCTTTGTTTATGTGCAGCTGCAGGGCAACCAATGCCCCAGCCCGCAGCTGATTGGTTGGGTGGGTCCATGTCCCTTCTGTCTTAATGACAGTTGAATCAGTCACCAGCATACCCAATGTTTTGGGTGTGCCCAGGAATGGTTTATGCACACAAGTTATTAGAGCTCACCAATAATGTTGGATTTTACTTTGTTGCAATACGTAGAATGCAGCAAAATGTTTGAAACTCCCTTGAAGTTTGGCTTCACAAATGGATGTTGTAATGTGTAGAAATAATAAGGTCTACAGACAACATAACAAGTTGGTATGTGATTCCAAGTCCACCCAAACATAAAATCTTGGTTTTGGATGTACTGGTCTTTTAAAATTGGTAATAATTCTACAGGAATGTGAACATACTAGGGATGCACCGATACCAAGTATCGTACTAAGTACAAGTACAGATACTTTTCCAGCTCCAAGACTAGACTAGAGAAAAATTCAAAAGTTAGGAGGCAGCTGTCATTTGTAAGGAGCACACAGAGCCCCTGGGATTTGTACATCTCTGTTTTAATGTATGTTTTTGTTTTCATAAATATATATTGGGGATGCACCGATACCATTTTTACAAGTACAAGTACTGATATTTGTCCAAGTACTTAAAGATACGAGTGCTGATACATTTTTGTTTATTGTCATGTGACAGTTTTTCTAAAATAATACAGACTAATGATTTCAGGACAGTGATGGAGCGCCAGAGCCAGGTCCCAGCTGCAACCTCTGCCACCCTGGTAGTTCTCATGAAAATGCCAAGTATTGACACTGGTATCTGAACTGGTATTGGTGCATCCCTAGAACATACCAAATATTTTCTGTCTTGTTTCACTAGTCAGAAATGTTCTGTTATACACCTAAGAAAACACACTGTGGATATATAGTTTTTAACTATATTTGCAGTTAATGGGTAAACTCATAAGTTCTTTTATTTTTACATAATATATTCTGTTGAGTCAGATTTATTTATTTTTATTCAACCTTCCACTCACTTTTCCTGTGTCTTCCACAGAAATGCTGCTTTTGTGAACCTTGAGGTGTCTGGTGGATAGAGCTCTGATGAGAGGTTCTCTTGTCCAGAGTCACTATGCTCTCTGCTGACCGCTTATATAATACATGAGGGTGATGCCCATCTGGAGCCGTGACATTGTGCTTTTCTGCAAGGTGCTCAGGCAATGGTGATATGAAATATTCACTTGTAAGCGTCCTTAAGAAACCTGACTGAAAAGAAGATATTTAGTTAGCTCAGTTCATTAAAAGGTTCTTACAAAGAAATTCCCCAGTTCCTTCCCAGCTGAATCCAAATGTGATCAGCCTTATTGCATTTTCCAAAATAATGTATTTGTATGAT